CTGCGGAACTTACTCATCTTGCTTCACTGAAACTCTGTGCTCCTCCACAAGCACCTCCCCATTCCCTCCTCCCGCGCCCTGGCAGCCATCACTCTACTCTTTGATTTTGCGAATTTGGCAATTTTAGATCCCTCGTCTAGGTGGAACCATATGGTGTTTGTCCCAGGACTGGCTGATTGGCACTTCATGTTCACAGCAGCAATAGTCAGGGGAGCCTACAGAAACGCCCTGACTGTCCTTTGACAGATGACTGGATAAGGAAAATGTGGTCTGTGCAAATGATGAAATATTATTCAACCTTAAAAAAGGCTAAGGTTCCATCTACTACAGCAGCAATGTGGATGAACCTCAGTGGAACAGGTCACTTCTCGGTCTGCTTCCTGGACAAGCCAGGACTCGTGAAAACCCCACACCCTGCGGCCCTGCCGACTGCGCTCCAGCCCCAGCCGCCCCCAGAGCTAAAGGAGGCTGGGCCCCAGTCCCCCGGGCCAGCTCCTCCTCCACATCGCTGGCAGGCTGTGCGGCAGGGGTCATGCCAAGCCTGGCAGCCTGGGTTCTTGGCTGGACTAGAGTTCAGCAACTCGCTGACCCACAGCTGTGCTGGTTACACTTCAACAACCCGTGGTGGTTCTCTGCCCACACAGGACAGCTGCAGGACTGGCCTGGTACCCTGGCACCCCCAGAATCGGGCCACACTGCTGTTTGGTCCCCTGGGAGGACCAAGTAGAGGAAACTGCGGAACTTCGGCTTTGGGCTTAGTGTTTAGGGACCTAGGTCTGGAAAAGAAGGTGAGAGACAGAGACAGAAAGAGAAAGAAATACAGGATCCCGTTACCAAGGAAAGGGAATTTAAATTCAATTAGGATTCTCTTTCCTGTCAGACTAGGTGGTCTTGTTATGAGCCCTGTGTGTGTTTGAAAGCAGGCTAAAAGCTATAGATTATGTCTAAAACAGTATTTAAGAATTTCAGATCTGAAACTGCTTAATTGTACGTTCCCTGCTGGACTGCCTGCCCTGACTGTTTGCTGGGTTAACGGGTAATCTGAAACGCCTCTTACTTCATGCCAGGCGGGCGCTCCTGAACAGGGTCCTTCAGTCCAGTGCTTTCCGTTCTGACGTTTTCTTTTCGTATTATTATTATTTACTTCTTCAGTTTTCTAAAGCCAATCAGGCATTTTTATCTGGAAAAGAAAGCTATTTTAGGCACAGGCATTGACACAGTCGCCTTTTTGTCCTCCGTGAGCTGTGTAACAACTGGCTTGGAAAACATTCTCCCGGGATAGTGGGGGTGCCTCTTTATTTCCACTGTTGCTCCTTTGGGCAATCTAGTGGGTGGGAGCCGATAGCATTCTTAGCTGTTGGCAAACCTCAGGATGTCGGCAAAGCCCGGATCGCTGCATATGAGACTAGGGTCCTTAAGTAAAGCTCTAGCCCAGCGGTGAGGGAGAGGAGGGCTTTTCCTCTCCTTGCCCACCCGCCCCTCTCTTCTCTTTAACACCGGCCATTGCCAGTTTTTAAAAGTGTTCTTAAAGACTTTCCTGATGGTCTCCCCTAGGGCGTTCACTGAGGAGAATGCTGTTTAGTTTCTGCCTGTTGGCTTACAGGGTAGTTTGACATGAAAGTTGTAATTGGGAATAGTGTACTCACAGTCACACCAGGGCTGCCGTGCTGAAGGAGAGGAATGTTGCCCGAGGGTGCTGCGTGCAGCCTTCCAGGGCATAGCTGTGGCCTACAGAGTCTTTTCAGGGCAGGATACGTGCCTCCAGCTCCTGCCAAACCCGCCCAGGTGTCAGATCACTCGGAGAAACACTTGGGGTGGGCCTTGGGCCTTGCCCCACGCAAGGGAGCATCAGCTGTCCGGTGTCTGTCCATGCTGGGCCCTTCCCCCTGGCGTCTTTCTCTGTAGGCCCTTCTCTCGAGGGCTGGATGTGGGCGACCAGCCTGCCCCCAGGTGAGACAGTGCCACCAGCCCGTGTCTGAATAACTGGGCATTGGGATGGAATTTGTGTTTGTTGGTCATTTGGCTGAAAACTGGCTGATAGGCAAAAGACACTATGCTTCGTATGAATACATATGTATAAGTATCCTGCCTTCAGTCCACACTCCAAGGACCCACAGACCGAGGGCTCTTCATTTCTTCTGTGCCCAGCGTCCCTTTGTAGCTGACTGGTATGTGCCCCTGACCCTTCTCTGGATGCCGTACTTGGGTGCATGCGATGAAAGACGAGGGTTTACCAGGAAGGCGGGCTGCCTCTCTGGAGGCAGGTCCAATAGCTATTTTGATTTTGAAGTGGCGGTGGGCGTAAGCACTTGGAGGTGGCGTGGCAGCCACACGCCTGCTGGTGACAAACCACCTTCACTGCTCTGAGCAGTTTTGTGCTTTGTTGCCAAACCGCATACACACGTGTGATCGAAGGAGATGCTGCATTTCAGTTAGAGGATGATGAGAATAAAGATCACACTCTTCTCCTGTTCAAGGTCGTGAACCTCCGGGACTCTGTAGCCTGGACTAAAAATTGCAGAGTCGCAGAGAGTCATCAGGAGCAGCTCAGGGGTGGAAGCCGCTGGTGGGGCTGAGCGGGGAGCTGGGTGTGATGGGGCCGGGGCCGAGGGCAGGAGTTGGGGCTGAGGAGCCCCCCTACCTGGGGAGTGCGCTGCAAAGCCACTGCGGTGCTGGGCAGGCGTGCAGGTAGAGGCACTTGCGATCTCCTTTCTGATGGCTGATGGGGCTGGCCCTGCCCCAGCCCTCCCTTGGCTGCCCGGTCCCTCAGGGAGAACTGTGGCCCAGGGCTGTGAGGTTGGGGTGCTGGGCCGGGGGTGGATGGAGCGTGGAGACTCAGGCACTGAGCGGGTATCCATGCCACCAGAGATGTCGGATCCCAGCTTTCAGAGGAGCGCAGAATCCAGGCCTGGTTCTTCAGGAATTCAGAGAGGGAGAAGCCGCCTGCCAGGTGCCCTGTGAGCACCGGCCAGCTAGCCAGGGGACCGGTTAGCCAGAAGCCTGGTGCTGCTGTGCCCAGCGGCCAGCCCCCGAGGCTGTGCCAGGATCCAGCAGCTGGGTGCCACCGGCCGGGCGGGAGGCTGAGGGCGCTGCTCAGTCTGAATTTATGAGTTGACCTTTTCCCCACAGAGGGACAGAGCAGAAGGGAAGCTGGGGTGGGGCTGGGGAGGGCTGTACGTGAAGACACTGGACACCAACTGGGGTCAAACTCAGCCCCGGAGATGGATCCCCAGGGCAGGGCACTTGGCTGTGATCTGTGCCTCTTAGATAAGGGTTTCCTAATGATTTAACATGCAGAATAAAAATTACTAAATTATGCAACACAGAGAAGACAAGCAGTGACTCTACAGCATCTCACTCTGCTGATGGACAGTGACTGTAATGGGGGGTATGTGTGGGACTTGGTGAAGGGGGAGCCTAGTAAACATAATGTTCCTCATGTAATTGTAGATTAATGAAACCAAAATAAACCACACTGGGATGCATACTGAAAAAAAAATTATTAAATTAAAATTTAAATGTTGAATAAAAATTCACAGGTGATGAGCCTTCAGTTCTTGGGGGTTTAACTCATGAAGGCTTTCCTTGCTCCCCTCTGCCCTTCCGCCCCTGCGGCTCAGATGCCAGGTGCAGGTGGGGATTCAGCCTCTAGCGTGAATGAGGCTCTTTGCAAATCCAACCAAATCATTAAAGAGCAAAGCAGGAAACCTTCTGGAAGAGGAAATCCATGTGTTTTTTTTTAAACAAATGGGCTAATTTGTGGCTCACTTACTCAACACATTATTGGCACCGTGTGCCCAGCCCTCTGGTAACCACAGACCTGGGATGAGGACCGGCGATTGTGCTGGTGTTTGAAACAGAGTGCAGAGGGGGCATGAGGGGCCGGAGGGGCGGAGGCGTGAAGGTAGCAGGAAGGGGGTGCCCTGCCCAGGACCCCCGTCACCAGAGGCCCAGCGAGGTTTGTGCAGAGCGCCGCTGTGTACCCCTATTTCCCCTTAAAATGGAAAAGAAAAGAAAGGCTCAGCTCCCCATTGGGAGGTGCCTGTTCCGCGGCCTGAGCACCCGCCCTGCTGGCTGGCCAGGGACAGCAGGAACCCCGGGCTGGGGGCTGGGGCTGCGTCCAGGCATCTGGGGCCTTTTGGAAGCTCATTCTGGGCGCCGGTTCCCACGCCACGCTTGGGGCTGCCCTCTGGGGCCTCACAGCTCTACGTGGTGCCCACGGCCAGGTGAGGACGGGGAGCAGAGGGGAGAGGACGGTCTGAGAAGCCCGCGGCCTCTCACCCGCTGCCGCTGCCCTGTGCTGGCCAGGGGCGGGGGCCCGGCCGTGACAGGCAGGGAACAGGAGGGGGGCAGCCTCCTGGTCTTCCCGAGCTCTCCGCGGCAGTGTGGGCAGCGGCTCCCGGCCTGGCTGGAAAGCGGAGCTGCCTCGTCCCGCGTGGTTTGCTCTAGAGAGAGGTTCCTGGCGTGCTCACTCCGAGCGCCTCCCAGCAGCTGGGGCCTCCTGGCCCTGGGTGCCTCTAGGAGTCCCGGGTCCAGAGGACCGACCGGCTGGACGGGACCAGCCGAGGGCCCTCTTGGAGGTGGCGCAGGACCTCGGCACCGGGGCTGTGGCGGGAGGCTGCTCGGCGCTGCGATGCTGAGCTGTGGCGCTGGCCGTCACCCAGAACCGAGGCCCACGGCGGTGGTAGCGTTTTATTTGCACACGTTTTAAAATGCAGAAATAGGGGCAAGCCATACGGCCTCTATATGAAGGGAGCAGGGCGGGGTGCCATTGGCCGGGGGGCTGACGAGGTGCGTGATGAGGTTGTGCGGGGCCCCTGCCGTGGGGACGTCCCGCGGCCTTCGGAGGAGGACGTACCGCCCTAGACGGTCCCTTCCTCGTGCACACCAGGGCCCAGTCCGACGCGGCCCCACTGCACCTGCCTGCAGGGATCCGGTGGGGTCAGCGGTGCGTCTTGAGATGAGCAGTAATGGCGCCTCTCTCTCCCTCTACCTGCCAGGGCGGGAGCAGTTCCACGGCCTGGGCTCCATGTACTGCCGAGGGGCCGCCGCCGTCATCCTCGTCTACGACGTGAACCACCTGCAGAGCCTGCTGGAGCTGGAGGACAGGTTCCTGGGCCTGACAGACACGGCCAGCACAGACTGCCTCTTTGCCATTGTGGGGAACAAGGTGGACCTCAGCGTGGGGGCCCCCGCAGAGAATGGGGTGCACAGGCCCGGGCCAGCTGGAGTGCCCAAGCAGGTGCAGCCTGAGGACGCGGCGGCGCTCTATAGAAAGATCCTGAAGTACAAGATGCTGGATGAGAAGGCTGTGCCGGCCGCTGAGCAGATGTGCTTTGAGACCAGTGCCAAGACCGGGCACAATGTGGACCTGCTGTTTGAGACCTTGTTCGACATGGTGGTGCCCGTGATCTTGCAGCACAGGGTCCAAGGGCCACCGCAGACCGTGGACATTGCCAGTTATAAGCCGCCCAGACGGACCAAAGCTGGGTGCTGTGCCTGAGTCATGGAGGCCCTGCCCTGCAAGGGGTGTGCAAGTGAGCGGTGGTCACCAGGAGCCAGTCACAGAGCTACTTCACAGCATGTGTGCGAGTGGAGATCTCTGTGGGAAGGCTGGCCGGTTATTAAGAGAGGGCAGCGGGAGCAGTCACCTCTGTCCACCTTGCGGTGCTGGGAGGCCCGAGTGAAGGGATCACGTGCAAAGACTGCCAGGCTGAGCCAGGGCCCCGCGCTGCTGTCCCCTGTGGCTCCCTCCCACAGCCTTGCTCTGGCTGGGGCCCCAGCCTGGGCAGGTGTCCCCCTCAGTTGCACTGTCCTCAGATGTCTCTCTTCACTGTGATTTCTCTGGTCCTACCATTTGGTACTTGTATCTTGATGCATCATAATGTCCCTTGACATGTTAATTTCTACAAAATCAGGAATCACTGCTTTTATATTGTTGCAGCATTGCGAGCTACACATACTATTAAAAAGGATTTTGAGGAGACCCTTGGTGTGGAGCCTTGGTTTAAACTTGGTGCCCCTGGGGGATTCCTTGCTGGGGGCCCTTGGACCATCGGCTGAACGAAAACCTACATTGTCCTGATGAGATGAGTTCCAATAATAGAAGCAAAACTGAAGCTCTGTCTCTGTTGAGGTCTGGGGTCAGCTTGGCTGTTACTGAATCAGAAGCCCCCTTTCCGGTGGTTGGAGGGGGGCTGCTCTGTTACTGGAAGATGCTAAGACGGGAAGCATGTGAGACAACAGCTTTGGTTTAATCGAGGGTGCCTAGGCCCGACGTGGGTCTCTTTGTCGGGAAGGGGTATCTCAGCCATCTCGGGGGCTCTAGCGGCATCCCGGGCTAGGGGCTTCGAACAGACGTGTGTGTCTCTCGGGTCTGGGCTGGGCATCGCAGCCTGAGGTGCTGGGATGTGACCAGTGAGGCCTTCTCACTGCACCCTCACGTGGAGAGAGCTCTGGCCTCTCTTTTCTTAAAAGGGGCCTAATCCCATCACGGCCCCACCCACACGACCTCCCAAGGCTCACCACCAAGACACGTCACACTGGGGGTTCGGGCTTCAGTGTGTGGGTTTGGGGGTCACAGCACTTAAGTCCGTAACAAAACAAGGTGAGGCAGAAGGCTGGCAAGGGAGCGACGCCCCGTGTGGTGTTGGGGTGTCCGGCAGTTGTGTGGAGGGTCCTTTTCTGGGCTGCCGCAGGCCTCCTCCTCTGCCCCTCGTGCATGTACGGGATGAGCCTGACCTATAGGGCCAAGCGCTGGCACCACTCGCTGCGTGAGCCACATGCAGCACCCCTCCCTCGGGACAAGGGCCTGCAGCGCACCTGGGCAGGGGCGTGAGGACCGAGGTGCACGGCAATGAGGGGGCTTCTAAGGCCAGAGAGACTGTCAGTGGCTGAACGGGACACAAGCCCAGGTGTGCTCCCCCTGGTGGGTGGGAGGTGCGAGGGACCCCCAGACAATTCTACCCAGATTCAAGAACTCCTTTTCCAGAAACTCTGCAGGTAAAACCAATTTTTTCTAAGTGTAACATTACTGGGGATAAGTTGGCTCCAGGCAAGAGTGTGGGTCCCCCCAGAGAAGCTGGGCCCTGGCCCCCATGTGACACATTCATGGTTTGTTATGCCATTGCGTGACCACACCTTCTGAGCCTGCCTCCTGCCCCACTGCCCCTCTTCGCTCTTGAACTTGGGTTGCAGAAGGGAGACAGGGCATCCGTGAGTCAGCCTGCCCTCTGCAAGGCCCCTCAAAGTCAGCCTTGGGGCGCTGGGCATCCGGGGCTGACAGGGTTTTGTCCCACCGGATGTGGTCCCCTGTACTGCCCTCTGTGGTGGCACCTAACTGAAGTTTGAGCCACACGGAGGCATCAAAGCCAAACCAAGTTGCAGAGGAATTTTCAGGGCTGTGACAAACATGGTGACTGTCCCTGGCTTGGGGGGCTTGGAGTCCAGAATAAACAGCGGCCTCCAGACTTTGGGGGGAGGAGCTGGGCTGGGCACCTCTCAAGCCCTAGCCTCCCGGCACCTCAGCCCCCCCATGTTTAGCTGCTGCTGTGGAGATCAGCTCTGGTTCCCTGCTGCGTCCTCCTGGGGGGCCGGAGCCTGGAGGCGGGAGGGAGCATGTGCTGGTCTGCAGCTGGGAGCTGAGGGTGGGTGGTTCCTTGCCCAGTGTGGCTGGACTGTCTGAGGCTCCTTGGTTCCTGCGGGACAGAGCCCTGAAGTGCCCATGGCAGTGACCCCTCAGGTTACCCGAGAGACCGCTTCTTCTGGGTCTCTGCCCAGGCCCACTGCAGGCCCAGAACCACGTCCTCACGTGACATTCCTGGGCAGAGTCCCTGCCGAGGTTAGCGTCCGGGGGAATGCAAGTCAAGACCGTTGTCGATCTATTGACATTTTCAGGTGGAAAACTTACTTTGTTACATGGAAATTTTTCTTAGAAAAGGTTTGATATGAGATTGAATCTTAAAGACTAAAAATAAATACTGTGAGGTAGGTTCCCAAAGGTCAGCCGGGTTCCAGAGAAACTGAAGCCAGAAATGTGTTTTAGAGACTGTTCCTCGGAAATACTGAGGTCAGATTTGGGACGTGATGTTGGAACGAACTGAGTGGCTTTGGTTTATATGGGTGAAGTACCCGCTCTCCTAACTCCCACGTGTGGTGGTTGGGCGCTTTCTGCGATCACTGTGCCTCCTAAGCACAGACACGATCCCCTGGGAAGTGAGTGACAGTCCCACACACTGTGGCACAACTGCGGCACAGGCCAAGCTGTACATGTTGCCGGCTCTCTGGCTCAGATGTAGTGCCTGGTTCACTCCATCAAACGTCGTGCCTTATGGACACGAGGAAATGAAGGCAGTCAAGAAATTGGGGTATAAAAATGTTCAACACCAGCTTTTATTCTGTGGTCATTACAGGGCATAGCGTAGTCTAGGAGTACAGTGCAGCACAAAGAACGGAGGGTGACTCTGGGGACGCCCTGGGGTGGCGGGAACATCGCCTCTGACACTAAGTTGGCCGTCAGGTAACCTGGCTGACACCAGACGGCTGAAAGGTCTCCGCTCCTACGTGAGCCTGGCCAGCCCCAGGGTCGGCAGGACGTGGGGGAGAGATTGGCAGCTGCTGTGTGACTCTATCTGTATCTTTGAGAATAAAAGGCACAGTCTGGCCTTCCTGAGCAGATCATGATAATAATTCACATCAACAGGCTCTGGGAGGAAATAATGCCATCATCTCGCTGGCTTAGAGAGCAGGACGGCCCATCCCCGGGGCCACTCATGTGAGAAAGTTGGAGCGAGTGCAGGGGCCCTCGGGCTGCACACCCTCAGCTGTCTATACCACCCCGTTAAATGAGTTAAATACCTGGGTCTGTGGGTATATAGATGGCGTTAGAGGTCAGCCAGGCCTGACGCTTAATGGCCTAGTGCTTGGTGGGGTGCGGGGGTTAATCTCGACAGAGAGGGTCAGGGTCACAAGCACAGTGCCCCTGGTGGACACAGGTTTTTTGGTGGAAGCGCTGGTGCTCAGTTCCTTTGGTGGCCTGCTTGTTTCTTAAAGAGGAAAGCGGAATCCATTTTGGGTCAGCATGAGGTAATGAGTTAAGGGTAAGCACCGAAGTGGCCCCGGTGGAGCCGCCCGCCGAGAATCACAGGTTCTTCATGCACACCTGGCAACGGCTGATGTGTGTCCTGATGAGCCCGGCCTTGAGGGTGTCGGCGGAGGGTGAGCCCTGGAAGCTCTGCTCTGGGATGGTGGTGAGCCAGAAGCTGTACTTGTTGGCGTAGTAGTGGCAGGTCCCGCGGCCCCCGTTGCACTCAATGAAAGGCGTGGCACGGAAGTCCTCCAGGCAGCTGCCCGGCGACACCAGGGACTGGCCGCCACCTTCATCGCCCGCAGCCGTGTGCTGCCCAGAGGAGACAGAGCAGGGTCATGAGCATTGCCGGGGGCAGCCCGGGGCCACCCTGTACTGAACACACTTTTTTCCCTAACCGAGCAGAAAACGTGAGCATCTGTCTGTGTCCATATGGACCACCCACGGGCACACTCTAAGTGCAGGGTTGGCCACATACATCGGGGACATGCAGACGGCGCACCTGGGCACCAGGCACGCTGCAGGTGAGTCACGGACATAAATTGCCATCTGTGATTTGTTATATTTAGTGAAAACCAGAGCAACAAAACAGCAGGTTATAATCAGGGACTAGAGTTGACTATCTTTCGGTGAAAAAATATTATCAATCCAATCATCTACTCTATGACTGAAGCATTTTCCTGGCAGAAAAGATATCAAATTGTTAATATTTTTAAAAAGGAAAAGTTAAATCAACATGTAGGTCATTACTGAGGTTGGCAAGATAGAAATCAGCACAAAGAAAGGCTTCTCCAACTCCCCAGCTATGTTTATGAAGAGGAAGGGACTGTGAGTGGCTTTTGTTAGTTTTTCTCTTTAGAGAATGTCTACTTCCTGGTTTTTCCACAACCAACATGTACTACTTGTGTAATTAGATTTTTTCAGAGGGCTGTTCATTAAGCAGCTGGTCACTGGAGGTGGTCCGGCAGCTGCTGGCTGCGAGGCTGGGCGGCTGGGCAGCTGGGCTGTTTGTCAGAGGGGGCCTTTGCTCTCACAAGTTCCAGTTGCTTTAGCTTCGTAAACATTTTTAGCTTTTTTTAAGGCATACAGTAGTGCCCTGAATCCAGTGCTCATATGAAAAGGCGATGGTCACCTGGCTTGCTGGACCTAGCAGCGTGGAGAGTGGAACGGGAGCATCTTGGCTACCGTGCAGGGTGCAAACGAGGGTATGCTGTGGCATCGAGGGGCAGTGGCCCCATGCCATTAGTTTAAGCAAAATAGCAAAGATAGAAACCTTTGGAAAGCTTTCTGCTTGCAGAATAAAATGCAGAAGCCTTTCCAAGCCAGGGTGGCTGCGTTCTTGTCACGAGCAGGTCCCCCACCGGGCCTGGGCCCAGGCTGTGCTGGGAGCTGCTGCCCTGGAAGGACAGCCCCGGGCAGCCAGCTGGTCAGCAGGAGAAACCCACCGCCGGTGAAGCAGAGAAGGTGTGCTCATGCAGGGCCGCAGATTGAAGGGGGACCCCTGGCCTTTCTGGGGTCAGCAGAAGCTCTCCCTCCACAAGAGAGGCTCAGTTTTTATTCCCGAATTTCCCAGTGGGAGTTATGGAATAGGGGTCGCTAGAGCTCCTTCCTCCATGAGGGGCTAGTGGAATGGAAAGAGGGCCGCTCTGCGTGTCCTCACAAGTCACCTCACACTGTCAGCTGCTTGAAATGGAGAAAAGGGGCCGGGCCTGCAGAGATCTGGCTTCCTGGTGGCTTCAAATTATGGCAGCAAAATGGTAAAAATATTAAAATACCAACACCTATTTATCTTTTCCTTCTTTTCTGGAATCATGGTTTTTATCCCCTGTTGTTTGAAAAGATTATGGAACTTTACATAATGGACATGTTATTTATATAATATGTGAAATGTTTAACATGTTGGGCTTCTAGTTGATAGAGCTGGAGTCGTGACAGTTACCAACACCAATGCCACAGGAGATCCACTTTCCCCACTGGCCTTATCTCTCTCCTACAATGGAAAATTGTAAGGGATGCTGTCACGGGGGCCCGTTTACCTCTGTACAGCATGTACAAAGGCTGGGAGGCAAATTAGTGGGTCCCTTCTGGTGGGGTGATCCATGCCTAACATGGCTCAGTCAACAAACCACAGGTACCCAACCTTCACTCAGCCCCCAAGCCAGGTGCCCTTGGGCCCAACCTGAGCAAACGCCCCATCTGATTGTTCCTACAGAAAACACTGTTCCTTGGAACTAGATTTCCACCCTGGGCCATGCTCTGAGAGTCAGCAGGCAAGTGTCACGTACCATAAGGAAGGAATATCCGATCCACAGACTCCGCCATCCGGCTGGGCAGTGGGGAATGGAGACATCTTGGCTGTGGACCGCTATGGCGACGGCCGGGGCCTCGCACACAGAGCAGCGGCTGATGTAGGGCTTGATCTCGTCCTCGGCCACGGGCATCATGGGCAGCGGGGCGGTCGTGGAAAGCCAGTAGGACTTGTCGTTCCGGCTGGCGTAGTAGCAGACATCCCCAGGGTTGCAGTACAGGAAGGGCATGGTGCTGAAGCGAGCCAGGCAGGAGCCCGCCAGCCCTGTGGGAGGTGCCGCAGCTGAGCGCAGCCGGACTGCTCTTCCAGGCTCCGCGGCCCGGGACCTGCCCCTGCTGCCACCGGGCAGGGCTCAGACGTGCCCGGGGGACTGAGCTAGAGTTTCCAGGTCCTTTTTTTGGGAGCAGACCTCACTGGCATGTTAGCCCTGCCCTTCTAGAAGTCCTCAGCACACCTCTGGACCATGCTGGGTCAGTAGGCAGTGCATCCTGTGGAACAGCACCCCAGGGGGGCCCATGTTGGGGGGTCCTAAAGCATAGCCCTGGGAAACCCCTGATGGCATCCCAGATGAGGGCCCCCCAGAAGGAACCCTGGCTGCTCCCACCCCCAGTGACTGTGCTTCTGGGTACAAAGATTCACTTTATCTCATGGCCCGAGTGAGCCATTCAGCTGTGGTTTCCCCTTTGCACATCGACTGCTCACAGTGTGGAGCCAGATGCGTGGCCCACCCTCAGCAGTTGCGGTGGCCTGCCCTCCTGGCCCTGTTCCCAGTTCTATTTCAGGCTCTTATGCTTGTTTGCATTTGCCCTGCCTTTAAAAAAAAGACCTTATTATGGAAGTAGGAATGTGCACAAATCATCAGGGTTCAGCTGGACAAATTTCCCCAACCTCTGTTACCACTGCGACTCCACAGACGAGCCCCCGGCCCCTGCCCCTGCTTTAATGTATACTCAATCCGTTTTCTGTGTGTTTTTCAGTCATTTGGGCAACCAGGTTTACTGGAATAAATATAAACACACATATCCACAAACGCGCTTCCCTGGGATTGCATGTGACTCCCACCCCCTCTCGGCCCCGCCCGTCTGCAGAACTTGCAGGGAAAAGAAGGGGAAGCAGCTGGCGGCCTCCAGGCAGAGCAGGTCCTGTGAGAGTCTAGGCCCCACACAAGCCCAAGGAAGCCCCTTCCAGGTTAAAGAGCAGGTAGGTCTGTGGTCCTGACCTGAGGCTTTGGGGCATCAAAGGCCATTTTAATCTTTCCTGACCCGCAGGGACTGGATAGACTCAGTGCCTTCAGTCAGGAGACTTGCTCGTCTCCGAGGATTCATGAACCTCACTGTGGCCACTGGATCTTGGCTGCCACCAGCGCCAGGAGCAGAGCCGGCCGTGGGCTTGGCGGGCGGGACCTACCTAGGTCCTGGTTGTGGGCTTTCTCCTGGCCTTCAAAATACAGCAGGCTGTATCCGCTCCAGAGCTTGTTCATGCCCACGGGGCACATGGGCTCCTGGTCCGTCTGGCTGTGCTTCACCAGCAGGTAGCCGATGCTGACACTGCGGCCAGGCATGCCGGGCATGCCGGGGCTCCCGGGGCGGCCTGGTTCCCCTAAGGCCAAGAGACAGTGGCTGCTTTTCAGCTGCCTGCACACGCAGGCCCAGGGCACGGGGCTGCTGGCTCGCCTTTGCAGCACCCCCTTGCCTTCTCCCCAAAGTCTGGGTCTCAGCGGCTCTGCCTCCTGTAGACCAGGAGCCGCGGGAGGGGCCACCTATGCCCACACTCAGCAAGGGGGGGATAACAGATGATGGCAGTGTCTGTGCTGGATGAGGGGCAGGTGTCAGGCAGTGCCTGGAAGGTCCCCTCAGGGTGCGCCGGTACTGGGGGGACGAGAGCACCTCGGAGACGGAGGGTCCCCAGGAGTATGGCAGCCTGGCCCCCAACAACCTGGCTTCTCTGCCCCAAGTGCTGACTCTCTTTGCTGGAAGCTTCAGGAGGAGGGGCTCACTGCACATGCCGTCTTCCCTGGGGGCCCATCTGCTGCCCGGAACGGCTGCCCAGGGACTCCCCCTGCCCCTGCAGCAGTGGACTGTCTAGCCTGACTCCACAACATGCTGCTGACCCGCCCCCACACCACTCCAGCACGGCTTCAACATCAGCACCTCCGCATGGATGCCCACACTTTGCTGTCCTGGCCTCCCCGCCTGGGTGGCTCCTATGTGTCTGGGTGTCTTGTGACTTGCACCCCGTGTGTCCTGTGCCACCCGGCCACGGATCCACCCACGGCGGCCACTGTTTTTTGTGGTCTGCGCACCTACAGGGTGGTTGGCCTGCGGCTCACCTGCTCACACCGCTGCTCCATGGGAGCGCAGGTGGATTAAAACAAATCTGGAGAGATTTTTGCACAGATTACTCTATCTCTGTCCTATCCTGCACACATACAAATAATCTTAAGAAATGAAGAATGCATGAGTTTACAATGGCCCATTAATGTGACTGGCTTCTTTCGGCTCATCGTCACAGACCTTTGAGACCTTTACCATCCTGTTTCTCAGTGTGTGGATCGTGTCCTTCTCTGGGGCACCAGCAGGTGTCTTGGGAAGGAGGGGAGCCACCTTGCCCTGGGGGCTCAGTGCCCTGTGTGCCGCTAGCACAGGTGCCCTGCTCCGCATGGGTGTGAGGAGCACGCGCCCAGCACCAAGCGCCCTTGGAGCCAAGCTGGGGTGTGGAGCAGAAGGGCAGCAGCCTTTCTTAGCAGGCCCAGGGCCCTTTTATTCCCTCCCCAGCCCCACAGCGGGACCTGGGAGAAGTACTCTGCCCTCTGCCCCCTTCGCCGCCCGTCACTCACCTTCCTGGCCGGTCGGCCCCTGGTGTCCCACGGGCCCCTGGTCTCCTCGGAATCCAGGAACAGCAGATACTCCACCTCTTCCCTGGGACCCCACCTTCCCTGGAGCCCCACGGAAACCTGCAGAGTCCCCAGAACAGGCATGAGTGCCACAGGAGTGACAGTGCTGGGCACCAGGGGTGCTGACCAGATGCTTTTCAGCAAGAGAGCAGGGAGCCTCTCCCTGGCTGCCCTGTGGCTGGGCACCTACCTGGTTCTCCTGGGGGGCCCTGGGGCCCCAGCTCTCCTTGGGCCCCCGGGGGGCCTCTCCTTCCCTGGGGGCCCATTGGCCCCCGCTGGATGGCAAACTTCTGGGGGATTCCTGCAATGCCCGGGGACCCCACAGGCCCAGGGGCACCTGGAAAGGGAAAAGAAAGGCCAGTTGGCACAGCAGAGCCCTTGACGTCTTGCCCTGGCCACTGGTCCACGTTTGCGCTCACTGAAGCCAAGCGTGGCGCGGCCTAGACCAGCCTTGCTCTCTAGAGATGAGGCGGGTGATGACCCGCCCGACAGGCCACTCAGTGTCCGCCCTTCCACAATGCCTGGCACCCACCACGGCTCTGTGGGGACGTCAGCAGGCCTGGCCTGTCTTGATTTCCTCTCTGTGCTTTTCGGTCTAGGCCCCATGACAAAGAGTGGCCTTGGAGGTGCCCCTAGCCCAGAGGGGCGGACAAGCCCTCAGCCGGCTCCTGGCGGCGGCCGACCTGAGGCTGTGGCTCTGCCGGGATGTGGACGGCCACTTACCTGGGAGCCCGCGGTCTCCTTTGGGTCCCCTGGGGCCTCGGTCGCCAACGCTCCCGGTGGCGCCTATGTTTCCCATGAATCCTTGCTCACCCCTAGGCCCTGCAAGACAAGCGAGACTTGGAGGACAAGCGGGTCTGGGGGACTCCAGTCATCCGGCCAGGCCCCCGCCTCCCTGGAAAGAGGAGCCCTCCGAGGACCCGTCACCTTTATCTCCTGGGAGACCGAACACGCCAGGCCGGCCCTGGGGCCCGGGGTCCCCGCCCCATCCTTTGGTTCCTGGGCTTCCCAGAACTCCGGGGTTCCCTTCTTCTCCTTTGCTTCCCGGAAGAGCAGCAGGCCCTGGGGGGCCCTGTGGGCCTCGGTAACCTGTTGCCGTCAGTCACGGAAGCAGACAGTTAGAGTAGGAGGCAGGTGCCACGCTGGGCCGCTGATGGGTGCCCAGGAGGCGGGGCGCGAGGGCCCTGTTTAGGGGATGGTCTTTGGCAGCCTGGTAGCCCTGGGTGACTTTTCTTTTTGTGGTAAAATACATGTAACATGAAACATGCCATATTCTCCGGGTTCAGAGGCCCAGCTCAGTGGCATTAAGCACATCCGTGCTGCAGTGCAGCCATCCCCACCGTCCACTTCCAGAACGTTCTAATTTCCCAAACCGAAGCTCTAACCCCTTAATCAGGGACTCCCAGCCCCACCTCCTGCTTTGTCCCCATCAGCGTGGCTGCTCCGGGGACGAGGCCCTTCTGTGCGTGGGCACTGCACTGAGCTCAATGTCCTCCGGGCGGAGGTGGGTCTGGTCTGTCTCTCCTGTAACCGGCTCACGGCCTCTCCTGCCCCCAGGGGTGTCTGTGCACAGGAAAGTGGCCATGCTCACCTTCCAGGCCGAATATCCCTGGGGCTCCTTTGTCACCAGGTAACCCAGAGATGTTGGAAGGAGGGGTGATGCCTGGAAATCCCTGCAGTCCTGGGCTCCCGACTGGGCCTCGCTCCCCTTAGGAAGGAAAAAGAAGCTGTTTTTAGTGTCAGCACCCCTTTTAAAAATCTACCGTTTCCCTTCTATGCTGTCACCTGTCCAGGGGCACAGCCCCCAAGGAGGCAGTGAGGGAAGGTGTCCAAGGCCAGGAATGTGTCACGATGCGGGCTCTCTGGGCCACGTGGCCCCTGCTCCCACTGAGGTCCCCATTTGAGTTCCAGCTGAGGCTCCCATTTCAGTTGGGTGTAAAAGAGGATACTTTTATGTCTACTTGATGCCATGTTGTTCGAATGTTTGGTTTTTGTAGGTGATTTCACTGTTTAAATTGGCCCCCTAACATCACACTGGAGTGTCTGGCATCACTTAAGTTCAGGGAGGCTGAGAAAACACGTCGACAGAAGCCCATTTTACACAACTCATAGGCAAAACGTGAACTGAAGCTGAATGTCCGCTGCAGAAATAACTGAGGCTGCCAATTGGAGCTTCTGGCCTGAGCTGAAAGCCAGTGACTCGGGACCCACAGGAAGGTCCCAGCCGGCTGCCGCCTCCTCCTCCCATTCTTGGCTCAGTTCTCTGGTGCTTGGCATCAGGCAGTGCTGGGGTTTCCAGCTATTTGCAAGGGGAGGGGAGGTGACAGACCCTGGAGAATCAGACATGCGTGCTGAGCCTTGAGTCACCTGCCACTCCCCTGGGTGATCAGGGTCTCTGGCCTCAGGTTCTGCTCCCCTTTGTGGGGTCGTTGTCTCCAGCCTTGGAGGGAATTCCGACCCTACTACTCAGCATCGATGTCCATGCAGACACCTGGCTGGCTTCCCCCATGGACGAAACGCAGGGGTGCGCAGGGTATGTGGGGAGCCCCAATCCTCAGGACAGAACCCCTGGGGCTGTAGGTGCATGTCAGTGAACTGCCGCACGGGAACACTCCGCTCCCGGACGCCGGCTTCTCTGGATCTCAGACGAGGCTTGAGCCCGGTGGAGGGGGCGGGGGTGAGAAGGGGGAGGTGGTCTTTCTCAGCAGCTGAGACCACGTTTCCCAGGTTAGCGCCCAGGCGTGTCAGGTCAGTCACGCGGGGCTTAGCTCAGCGGTTTAATGTATACATTTACTCGTTTATCCAACATTCTGAGTGCTGGTTACGGGTAAGACATTATGTTGGGGTCCTGCAGGGACAGCCCTGTCACCAAGGGGACAGACATGATTCCTAGGGCCAGGAGCTCATCTGTACCACAGGGAGTCTGGCCAGTCACTAAGCTGACGGAATAAGCACGTTGCATAACGGAACATCACGTTGGAAGCCCAGCCCAGAGGTCTGCCACGAGCCTCTCTCCGGAGCAGCATTTGCCTCCCCTCCCCCGGCTGCCCCGGCTCAGTCTTTGGGGTTCTCCTTCTGCAGATGGTCTATCCCACGTTCTGGCCTCACCTGGAACTCCTTGCTCCCCTTTCTGTCCTGGTGCTCCGACAGGGCCTGGAAGGGTGTTGGCTTCTCCTGGGTCACCTCTGTCCCCAGCAGGACCTGGGAAACCTGGGTCTCCATGGATGTCTGCACCTGTGGCAGGGTGGACGGCAGGGTCACCAGCATCTCCGGCACAGATTATTCATCATAAATGAAAACTTGTGATGTTTCTCAGTGACACTCAAAAAATAGAAAACCAACAGGCAGCGTGGAGATTTCAGTTTGCTATGTAGCCTCGGTGTTCCAGAATCTCAGACTTGGAAGGGAAACTAGAGATTGTAGTTGAACCCCTTTGCTTTCTAGATGTAAATGAAGCCTTTCAGAAGGTCCAGATTCACGGACACAGCTGGGCCTGCAGCTGGGAGTCCACCTGAGGCCTCGCGGCTCCTGGTTGGGTGGCTCATGCCGTGGTCAGAGTGAAACACTAAACCCTGCCTCACTCACAGCGCAGGTCAGGTGCTTAGAGCAATTTGGTGGCAGGAAAGAGTGATACACTTAGGCCATGTAAACTCCAACTGAAATGTTAACTGGAGCACAACTGTGTGAATGTACATAAAATTACACATAAACAAATTTATCTGGAGGTAGTTGAATATCTGTTTACATAAAATGTTTATAAACAGAATATTCTGATAACAGGACTGTGGATGAATTTTTTTTTGTTTAATTGTATTTTTGAGAACTTTTCTCTACCTAATATGAGTGAGTTCGTACTTTGAAAAGAAAGTAAACAGTAAAAGTCATTTTTTAGATAGAGACACATTAATAAAACGATTCCCACCTCTCATTGTCCTACAAATATTATTACCTAATTAATAAAGGAAAAAATTAAATGAAAAGACAGGATTAAGATTTAATATTAAAGGAGCTACATTTAAACGAACATTTCGGAGAAGCCCCTGAGGCTTCCGCCCTTTGGGGTGGAAGCTTCCTGAAGGGACAAGAGTACAAGGGGTGCTTTCTGCCGAGAGCGATGGTGCCCCTGTGAGGAATGGGTCAGCATGTGCTTGGCACTGGGCGACCCCAGAGGGGCCACCGACGAACTCCTTAGTCTGTCCTTAGCTTTTGGACACAGTGGGGCTTTGTATTTCCCTCGGGGGAAAAAAATATGCTGGAATTTTTTTTAAAAGCAGCTCTAACAGTTTCTGAAAGATGTCAGTGTCTTTTCCTTTTGGAACGTAAGACCCCTGGGGTGTCGTGTGGTGGGCTCAGCTGGTCCCCCTAGAGAGCACCCCTGCTATGACAGTGTCAGGAGGAGGCCTTCGGCAGGCGAGCAGGTGGATGAGGTCCTGGGTGCGGCCCCACGGTGGCATGGGTGCCCTTACGAGAGGGGCCACCAGTGTGGTCTCTCCTCCCTCGTGAGGAGCCGTCTGGGAACCAGACTGCAGCCTCCAGAACCGCGAGGAACGGCCGTCTGCCATCTGCGCTGCCCCAGCACGGTGTTCCACTGCAGCCCTGAGCTGACTAAGACAGCCACGCCCTGCTTCCGAGTGAGAGCAGCCCAGGAGGGCCGGCCCCCCGTCTTCCCCGTGCCAATGGAATGGAAGATCACAAATCCAGTGCTGGGCCAAGTGGGCATTTTAGACAACTCGGGCATGGATGCCAAACTTTCCCAAGATGCTGCCCGGCCACGGCACTGTTTTCTCTCCATGTAGCGCCTGATGGTCTACTCGGCACTTCTGACTCACGGGGGTGGAATCTTAGGCCCACAGCTCAGCTGTTTGTCTGCTGGACCACAGGGGCCCTGAGGCCTCAGGGGTTAGCGCACAGCCCTCACGGGGCAGCCCTGCTCTCTGAGCCACCCCCCATCAGGACGGCCCCCAGCGTGGCCCTGTGGCCGGGACAGCGTCAGTACCTGGGGATCCTGGAAAGCCTTTGGTGCCTGGCAAGCCGTGCAGTCCCCCGATGCCGCGGATGCCGGGGAAACCTGTGTGGGTTCACTCAGGGTTAGTCCAAGCATGGAGAGCAGAGACCCTTAAATAACTCGGACAGGCTTTTGCTTGCTATGACACTGTTGCGCATCCAACGTGCTCAAAAGCCCGGCAAACAGAAGGCAGCTTGGTGCATCCTGTGGCACGTCAGTGAGTCGCTTCCATGGTAACCAGGAGAAGCATGTGGGTTACGGTTTGTTGTTATAGAATCTTATTACAGACACCACAGCTGGGAGGGAACTGGTGAGTGGTGTTCTGTTTCTCTTCCTGATGCTTGAGTTATGGTGTATGTTTGGTTTCTAAGATCTGTTCTCAGAGCCAACAGCCTGGTATTAGTTCCATTCCCTCTCGACTCCCTAGGATAGACATTTGTGATGATGGACGTGGAAAACTTGTTCAGAATTTAGGGTGACCCATCCACCTCCCCACTCACTGCCCACACTGCAGGTAGAAAAGCCACCTGAGAGAGGCTGAGGGTGTGTCCCCCATCTGACCAGGACCTGTGGGGACCCCAGGTCTTTCTGTCTGCCCGGGACCCGTGAGGAGCCCAGGTATGAACCCCACCAGACCAGGGGCCTGTAGGACCCCAGGGCCCGTCCCCTGACTGCAGCCTGTCCGGGCCAGGCTGAGCAATCTCCCAAATCCTGCCCAGAGTGCCACCAGGCCCCACTCAATGGGAAGCCAAGGAGCCCTCAGCAGAAAAACAAGGACACTGGCATGCATCTGTCCCTCTGTCCATCCTGCCTCACCAGCCTGTGTGCTGAGTGAGAAGTGGGCCTACGCCCCCAGGAGGTTTCCATTCATTCACCGGGAAGGAAACTCTTCTCTGCAGGCTGGAGTGTCTTTTTCTCGGTGCTGGCACAGCTGCCAACGCCTGTGCTCAGTGTGGTGTGTGCATGGCAGGCTGTGCACACCCCTGCCTTTCATCTTACACAGTCTTACAGAAAACAGCCTGGAGAGAGGCCAGCCCTACTAAGAGTACCTCTCCTCACCTGGCAGGCTGGCTCTGAGCAAGCCCACGTGCTTATAGTCTGCAAAGGGGGAAATGGTCTTACCTGGTAAGCCTGGAGCCCCTGGCCAGCCAAAATCCCCTTTGTTGCCGGGCACCCCGACCTGTCCTGGCTCTCCCTGAGGCCCCTGCAGCCCCGTCAGTCCTGGAAAGCCTGTGGGCAAACACATCCTTCAGTGAGCTCCAGAGCCACCAGGCCTTGCCTGGCCACTAGCTCAGCTCTGCCTGGAGCTGGAGGGCCTTGTGGGGAAGAACAGCCTCCCCTTCAAGCCAGCAGTGCATGTGGCCTTAGACCCCCACATCCAGGGTCAGTGCAGCTAGGCTGGCCCTGCCAGAGACGACAGCTCATCTGTTTCTTATGCTCATCCCGTCGTCCAGATAGAGGCGGGAGAGAACCCGAGAAAGACCCCTGGGATGAGCCCCTCAGGGTGCGTAGGCCCTGGGCAGGACAAGGCCAAACAATGCAGGGAGCGCCAGGAAAAGCAGGAGATGGGTTCCAGGCCGGCTTCTGTCCTCAGCTTGGGCTCCTGTGTGCGTGCAAACATATGGAAGGGTCCCCAAAACAAGAACTCAGTCCTGTCACAGAGACAGATGCTGGGCCCCAACGCGGCCGTGGCCCAAGCGTCAGCCTGGGCGGGCCCCACAGCCGGGCTGCGGGTTCTCTCTGTGAGTTTGGTCCTGAGCTGAGCCAGGTGAACGGGCAGCACTAAGAGCAAGCGTCCTGGGCAGGGGGTCGCAGCAGGCTGGGGGCAGGCAGAGCTGGCGCCTCCCTTGGCCTCGGAGCTCTGGGGGCTCGGCCTGCTCAGCTCAGGGACTGCGCAGAGGAAGCTGTATGACAGCGAGTTTACCTGTTTGCCCTTTGAGGCCGGGCGGGCCTTGGACTCCGGTCAGGCCTGTTATCCCGGGGAAGCCAACTTCACCCTCCGTTCCTCTCTCGCCAAAGAACCCCTTTAGACCTGTAACCACAGATTTGCTGCTTGGAACAAACCACAGGCATCGTGTCACTAGGGCGTAGTGCATGTAGGGTTCACGGGCATGCCAGCTAAGGGTGCTGCTGTCCCACGGGGGCTTCTGCTGTGCACGGGCATGCCACCTAAATGCGCTCCTTCCTTGGCTACTTCTTGGTTAATTCCTCCCTCTGAGCCTGTGCTCGGCGGCTCCCACAGTGGCACGTCATGGCCCTGCGTGCTGGCAAGCGTGCCCTGGGGCATCCCCCACATGACAGGGCCAGCAGGACACTGGGGGAACAGTGGCATGCCACCTCCAGCCCGGCTGTGTGGTCATCACTGCTCTCTCTCTGCCACGTCTCTTGCATTGCTCACTTGGGGGAAGCCAGCTGCGGCGAGGGGAGGACATTGCAGCGGCCCAGGGTGGGGCCCACATGGCAAGCAGCGGAGGCCTCCCAGTACAGCCTCATGGACACGTCACCCTGGACGTGCGTCCCATGGTTCTATCCCAAGACCTCTGAGTCCCAAACCCCTGCCTCTGAATTGGACCCTCAGATGCTGTATGAGATGGCCCCTACTCGCAGGTGCTATGGCCCCTTCACCCACTAAATGCAGCAGATCCCCAACTGGGGCTCTTTCTGAGTGGTCTTGAATGTGGGATGTGCCAGGAAAGCTGGGGGCACTGTAAATGTGCAGATGCGCAACCTGCCCCCCAGACGTGCCTCAGCAGGGTTGCGGCCTGGAATCTGCATTTTAAACAAGCACCTCAGGGGCCTCTGCGGAGGTTGCGGGCCAGACAGAAATGCTGTCTTCACATCAGTGACACTATTCTGGGTCAAACGTTTTGGTGTGTTCTGTACACTGGAAGGTTTTGAAAGCCTCTGACCATCCTGAACTCCACATGATCACTTTTACCTAGTGTCTCCTTGAATTTCTGAGGCCATTGCTTATACAAAAATACTGCTAATGTTTATGCGGCCTCAGAGAAAAACAACCTGAGAAGTTCTGCTCATTTTCTTTCAACTATCTGAGTGTTTTGAAATCTGCTCCAAACCCCATTGCCTGGTGCATCTTCACCGACCCGACGTCATCCCCACCCGACTGAGCTTGGCAAGTCCAGCCTGAGACCAGCCCCGAGCCCTGGCACTGCCATCTGGGCTGATCCGACCCAGGGACCCTCTGCCCACCCTCTGCTGCAGGGAGGCTCTGGGGCTGACCCCACGCGCAGGCACAGCTCACTTGCCTCTGGGAGGCCGGAACACCCCTGAGGATGGCTGACAGAACCACCGCCTCTTTGCCCGCGACGGTGGTTCTGAGATACGGCCGCTGGTGAGGGACCCAGGGGGAGGCTCCGCTCCTGGGCACTCAGTTACCTGGGCGCAACCCTGATTCTTGGGGGGGCAGCCTCTCACCCCCACACATCTTTAGTTGAACAAATGAGGTCATCGTTAATGACATGTGGCAAAAATGGTATCACATTTCCACTGTTATGACCCAAACTGCCCAGGTGATCATTCAGGACGGGAGATTCGGGCAGCCGAGGGCCAGAGGCCCAGCAGTGGGGGTACCGCTGGGGCTGGGAGGGGGGCCATCGGAGCTCTGGCCACCGATCCACAGCGAGCCCGCCTATTCCTGGGCAGCAGTTGTGTGGCCCTGGGCACACTGAGGCCCTGTCCACCGCACGTCTCTGAGGTGAAGACCCAGCTCCACATCCGCCCCCGCGACACGCTCTTCCCCTCCACGAAGGCCTTCCCTAGGGTGGACCTGGGGCTCTGTGCAGCTTCAGCAATGTGGGGCCCCAAGATTGAATCCCGCGGAAGGAGGCCTCTATGGCCCGTGCCCAGGGGTAAGACTACAGGCAGGAATTCTGGCCTTGAACTTCAGTGGTGCTCAAGAAGGGGGGTGCTGCCGTACCACCACAGGCACCTGACACACAGGACGGGGCGCCTCTTGCTGCCTGACACAAGAGAGGGGCCACACTCCTTTCTCAGGACCTCTCACTGTTGGCAAGATGCTCTGCTCAGAGCGCCCCTTGCTTCAAGCCCTGGACTGTGCCCCAGGGGCCTGGGCCATGCTACCTTTTCCTCAGCCACGTTTTCCAGGCTCCAGCTGCTTCCTTCCACAACGAGGATTACTGCTCTCGCCCCTTCCAGGGACAGACGGAAAGGGTTCCTGACTTGTCTTCAGGTTTAATTTAGTTAAAAATTCCAGCCTGTTTTGCACATTGGGCTTGAAGATCTCAAACCATTCCCTTTGACATGACTCAGAGTGCTTACAAACAGTGATACAAATGTCAAGCCAGCCCACGAGTGACACGGACAGGGTCAGGGCTGTGGCTGGGTCGGAGATACGGAAACGGCTGTACCTGGAGCGCCGGCGAGGCCCCGTTCTCCCTTCAGGCCTGGACTTCCCGGTAAGTCTATGGTGTCGCCAATGTCACCTGTAAGTGAAGAAAGGCTGGTAACAACAGGTCTTCCTACCGGAGGTGGTCAGTTTTGCAACTCTGTAAAGAATGCACTAGTCTTTGTAAGAACAATTTACTTCAAAATAACGAACAGTGTTTGCAGGTCTGGCATCACCGTGCCTGTCCAGATGCTATGGACGGCGGATGCCCTGTTCTCACCATCCCAGCAGTACTCACCGAACTCCCCCGTGGGACCCGTCTCGCCGTACAAGCCTGCTCTCCCCGGAGCCCCCTTGTCGCCCTAGAGCAAAGGCATACAGGAGGCCTTCTCACAGACCGCTCGGGAGCCACGCACGCAGCTCTGAAGTAGGTCAGGGCTTCCGGTTGCTGGATTCGCGACGGCCAGCACTCTAGGCTTATGGCCGCGGCATTCTGTAGAAAACTCCTGAAGCTTTTCAGCACAATAGTAGGGGGGCTGCTCACCTGCTCATACTGAACTATAAAGTGGTACAAACGAGGGGGGCTTCGAGACTTTACTGAAATGAGTAACGTCAGTGATGCAGACCACGACACGGTGACAACCACCACGGCTGCTGTGCCCACCCCCCGGCAGGCTTCGTGCAGACACGTGTGCTGGCCCCATCCCAGGACCTCCCCAAGGCTGGTTAAGCCTCCAATCAACCCTGCGAGGTAGATACTGTTGTTTCCCATTTGACAGATGAGGAAACGGAGGCACAGTGAGGTTATGTAACTGCTCAAGGTTACTCAGCTGGTAGGCAGCAGAATGGGGACACCAGCTGGGGCATCCAGATTCCCGAGCGTGCCCCCTCACACGGCTGCGCACACCTGCTGTGGAGTGGGTGGGGCTTCTCCAAGGAGGGGCTGGTTGTAGTTAATGAGACTGGGATGGTGTCTGGATCCCACTGTGACCCCGTGGAAGCCAGGCTTTTCCTCTCCGAAGGGGCTTCCTCCGCACGGGGAGGGTGGGAGCTCTGGCCTACTGTGACCTCCATGGTCCCCTCTTTGACATCAGCCTGGCTTTAGACCCACAGCACTGACACTGTACCCTTCCCCAGCACAGTTTACATGAGCTCTGAATTATTAGGTAGCTCCATGTTGTGGGAGGAGAAGGGAGGGTGTGTGGAGGCTGCACTCTTATTCAGATTACACTCCCTGAGTCGGACATTTAAGATGAGTGCAGCGCCCTGCACGTATGTGCCAGTTACATGCTGTCTCCATTACACCCAATAAAACTGTGCGGTGGCGACTGCCTGCATTTTCCAGGTGAGGACAAGACAACAGTGCCCAGCACAGAGCACACACTCTAGGACATGAGCTGAGTGAAGACACGAGTAAATGGCAGGTGGGGAGGTCACCCGAGCTGACTCAGTAACGGCTTCTGGTCCTGCTGTCACATGTGTGCTCAAGTGCAGAGCTCAGACCGCTAGGAATCCAGGCTTAGTCCTTTCTGGGCCCCCATGGAAAATGCAGACACCATGTTTCACCCAACAGCAGCTCAAGAAAGGGCCAGTGGTGGCCTGGCAGAGTGCAAACCCCCACTGGTGTTGGTGCGAGCGCAGTGTCTCCTTACACTGACCTGGGGCCTAGGATGGCCTGAGGTTCTGACCCGAAACAGGTGCCTTGACTGCTGTCGGCCCAGTGAAGTGCAGGACTGCAGTGCTCCGGACGGCAAGCAGAGGAAAGGGTGCTCACGAGAAGATGCGCAGGAAAAGATGCCCACTTACCCTGCTTCCTGTGAATCCTGGAAACCCTATAATCCCAGGGGGTCCGGAAACGCCAGGGAATCCTGGCGAACCAGGCGAGCCGGGAACTCCGATGTCTCCTTTGACTCCCTTGATGTAGCCCGGCCTCCCCGGCGACCCAGGTACTCCGGACAGCCCAGGGATCCCTGGCATCCCAGAAGAACCTGCAGGGAGACCCCGAGTGTGATGCCTGGGGTGGAAGTGCCCACCCCCCCAGGATTTCTGCCCTGCTGTCCCGAGGGTCACAAAGCCTGACGGGTGGGGGCCGCTTGCAGACACGCTAGGCTGTCGGTGGAGCTGAAGTGCAGGAGGGCAGGTGGGGCGGGGAGGAGGCCCTAGGTGACCGGCGCCCAGGTGGCCAGGCCGTGGTGGCCTCACCTTTCACGCCCAGGTACCCCTTCAGTCCCATAGGTCCTTCGTCTCCTTTCTCCCCTTTGATGTCCTTCATTCCTGGCAGGATGATGGGAGGTGGTCCTGGGGGGCCGGGGTCCCCTCGGCTGCCTGAAAGGGAACAGAATATAGCTTTTGCTGTGCCTGTGGGCCAGGCGGGAGGACACGGGAAGAAGGCCTCTTGGCCAGGGCTGTCCTCCCAGACCTGAGTCCCAAGAGGCTCTGAGTCACGGCAACAGGTCTCCCCTGATCCGGCAGCCTGAGAGCTGGCGATGGGGGTCTCTGAGAGGTCCTGGGGTGGAGGGAAACACCTCTCTCCCCACCCCTGCCAGCAGGCGGAGTGTGAGCACAGAGCATGTGACAGGTGGAAGCTCCCCCACCCACCTTAGAACATTCTCATCTCCCCAAGAGAAATCCTGGGCCCCTCAGCATTCACACCCACTTTCTGCCCCCAGGCCCAGGTGACCTCTAATCTGTTATCTCTACAGATGCACCTCTTCTGGACACTTCATGCACATGGGAGCAGACGACATGTTTTCTACATATTGCAGCATGAATCAGACCCCCATACTTCTTCACCACTGAGCAGTATTCCTTCACACAGCCATGCCACACATTGCCACCCACGGGGGATATTCAGGTTTGTTCTTTCTATCGGGGCCACCAGGCGTGACGCTGCTGTGCACACTCAGGTGTGTTCTGTGGGCATGTGCTTTCAGTGGTCTTGGGCACACACCCAGGAGAGAGGCTGCCGGGTGACGGGGTTCCCCTTTTTAAGAAACCGCCCTACTGTTTTCCACATTGGTGTGCCGCTGCATGTTCCGCAACATACGAGGGTTCCCATTGCTCCACATCCTTGCCAACACTTTATTAGTATTTAAGGTTTTAGAGACCAGGGTGACGCTTTCAGAACAAGGGTGTTTAAACAAAGGTCATAAAGATGTGCCTTCTAGCAACATACTTCCTGGATGGAGCCTCGCGCCTGGGCCTTGAGACGCCTGCCCACCCCAGGGCTTGGGCCCGCCTTGGTTCCGGGGGTCCCAGCCTCCTCGGCACGGTGTTGGACCCTCTACCTGGGGTACTGGGCTCCTCTCTTGCCAAACGGCACTCCCCTACTTTAGGATTTACCTTCCGCTTTTCTGATTTAGGCTCCTCTGACCTCATGATTACTGTGGAAAAATCATGGCAGGATGTGCTTTTTAGGATGTTTTTGGTCTCTAATGCTGCTGTCATTTTTGTTCCCAAAGCTTCCTCTGGTCAGGATCACTCCCATCACACTGTCAGGGAGTTGAGGCAGCATAAAGCCTTCCAGTTTGTGTTAGTTTCCTTGTTAACAGTGCCTAGCTTTTGGGTTCCAGAAGGTTCCGTCTGAGCGGTGTTATGCCCCCATGGCAGTGAGTCCCAACCCTCAGGAAGGCCTTAACGGCGGAGGACATACCTTTCACGCCTGGCTCACCAGCCAGGCCCTTTAGCCCCGGGACGCCAAAGACTCCGACCTCTCCTTTGTTCCCTGGGAACCCGGGTCTGCCTTTGAGCCCCAGCATGCCTTGGAAGCCGTCCATCCCGGGCGAGCCTCTACTCCCTTCGGGGGAAGCAGAGAAGTGCTGCTTTAGGCTTTCCCGTCTCCCGCCCGACGCAATCCCACAGAGGACCCGGTGAGGAGATGCGAAGGTTTCTAGCTAAAACAGGAATTCCCAGGACCCTGTTTCCCGAGAGCCTGTCTGCCACCCTGAGCACAGAGGCGTTCCGAATGAGCCCACGTGTCATCTGGCCCCTGGGAGTAGGACATAAGGCAAACCGCACAGCGGTCAGGCAGAAAGACCCGAGGAAAAGGGAGCCTGGGTCTGCGGGCCCACCGGGAAGAGGCTGGGAGGGGTCCTAATAGGGTTTGCTGACACTGCACCCCATGTAGGGCTCTGATGCCGACCAGTGGGGACACAGCTCACAGAGGGCCCCTTCTAGGAAAGCTGGCCTTGCTCTGTGCGGGTGACCTCGCTTCTCCTGCACTTGGGTTTCTGGTCACCAGCTGCCCTTGGATCTAAGCCCCATCTCCTGAAGGTCCTCTCCACAAACCTCCCCACACAGGCTGTGAACCCGGCTCTGCAGGGACAGGGCCTTCTCCTTTGGAAATGAGTAAATTGGCATTTTGGGGCGTGTCGGTCCCACCTGGCATAGGCAGGTGGCGAGGGGTCCTGGGGCCTCAGCCTGCAGAGGGGCTGGCCCCACCCGCACAGCTGTCCCACACCCCAGGTAAGCCACGGGTACCCCTCAAGGTAAGGCTCTGCCAGTCAGTTACCTTTGGACCCCGGGATGCCAGGCATCCCAGCCACTCCTTTGAATCCAGGGCTTCCGGGGTGGCCTCTCTCACCCAGGGAACCAGGGTCACCTCTCTCACCCGACACACCCTTCATGCCCACAGGGCCGGGGACACCAGTGTCGCCTGGGTCTCCTCGGTCCCCAGGCAGACCTGTGAGGAGAGTAGGAAGGAACGTAGAAAAGGATGAACTGTTTGGAAGAGCTAAATGCTGCAGGCGTCAGACACCCTGGACGGTGCCCCGGGGGGCCCAGCCCGGCCTCTGCCCGCTGGCGGGCCTCCGCCACCTCGGCCGGGGTTCCTACTCCGCCTACTGCCCTGAGTTGGGCGTCCTCCTCCCCTGATCCGCCACCTGCGGGCAGGTGACAGTTTTACCTCCCCAAAGCGGAGCAGTGATGCTAAACTTTGCAGTGGGAATTTCTGTTTCTAAATTTTCCTAATGAAATCTTACCTGGACCCCCAGTATATACAAGCACAACAGATGAACAGGTTTCTCAGGCTGTGTGAATTCTCCTTGTTTGGCAAAATATATGTTCTGTGTTTTGAACCTGTTACGGGCTGAACTGTGTCCTCCCCACATTCATATGTTGAAACCCTAACCCCCAGGACCCTGGAATATGACTGCATTTGGAGACAGGGCCTTTAAAGGAGTAATAAAAATTAAGCGATGTCATTAGGGTGGGCCTTCCTGAGATACGACTATATAAGGACTTGTGTGTCCACCCAGAGGGACGGTCACGTGAGGACACCGGAGCAGGCGGCGGTTTGCCAGCCCAAGGAGGAGGCCTCAGGAGGAACAAGCCCTGCCCGGCTTCTGGCCTCTAGGGCTGGGGGAGAACACATTTCTATTGCTGCAGACCCCACTGGGTGGTGCTTCCAGAGACCCTGACAACCCCAAGAGGGAACTCCTTGGAGCACAGCTTGAGGATTCCACTGGTTCCTCCAGCACAGCTAGGACCCCACCCCAGCCCACGATGGGAGGGCAGGGGCCTTACCTCCCCGGCCTGCGGCGCCTGGCAGCCCCAGTGGCCCCTGTTGGCCCGGAGCTCCTGGGAAGCCGTGCTGTCCTGGCGGCCCAGGCAGTCCTGGAGAGCCCGAAGGCCCTGGGAAGCCCGGCTGGCCCTTCAGGCCTGGCATTCCTGGCATGCCCTGGCTCCCTGCAGGGATGGAGACGAGAAAGGTGAGGCCAACCCACACGGCTACTGCGAACAACATCTGCCTAAAAATAGGATCACTTCTTTCTAGGTTGCAGGAAAGCTGGAGCATTCAGAGAAGTGTGAGCAAAGGATAAGATGAAAGTGACTCATGGTCTCACCCAGAGATAATCCCTAACGTCTTGGCATGGTTCCCTCCAGCCTTCCTGCTTCCATTCACATAAATACACCCAGGAAGGGCACCTGCTTCCATTCACATAAATACACTGAGGAAAAGGTGTCTGCAGACCTGATGCCTTAAGTACAAATCGGATCTGGCTTTTTCTACTTGCCATTATATTTTGAGCATCCTGCCGCACTGTGAGAGGCTCTTTGCAAAGGTTTAGAGGGCCACCCGGGCAGCAGCCCCTCGTGGGCGTGTTGGGGCCCGTAAAAGGCCTCAAACAGCCTCCTTTCCTGGCTGCGGAGGGCAAACAGGCTGAAGCATCTGTCCTAAAACATTCCAGAGGACCGCTGCGACTGAGTGTGGGGGAGAGAGGAGCCATGCCACCCAGAGTCCTGGGGCTTCTCCCCGGGGCCCAGGAGGGGTTTCAGGCCCACCCCTGGGACCACGGGGGAGCAGGTTGCAGCCCCTCTCCTCTCCTGCCGTGGCACTTACCCCTGAATCCCGGCGTGCCTCTCTCTCCCGGAAGGCCTTTCAGCCCGGGGTGTCCAGGCAGCCCGGCATCCCCCCGGGACCCGGCCTGGGCTCCCAGGACTTCTCCAGGAAGGCCTCTGTCCCCTGGGGGCCCTACCGGCCCTGGCAGGCCGGTGGGGCCTGGCTGTCCATCCAGGCCAGGGAGGCCCACAGCACCTTTGGCTCCTCGGGGCCCCACAAACCCTGAAAGGAAACATGGGCGTTCCCACAATGTGGGTCAGCACTGCAGGGCTCTAACAGAGGCATCAGAAAGGGGCTGGAGACAGCAGGAGCTCACAGTCGGAACCCCAGCTGGGACCCCGGCCCTGCCATACGGGCCCTGTCGCACCCCGCCTCCCTCTGCCCTCTGGCCCGCAGCCCTATCGTTCAGCTGAAGTGAACAAGGCCTTTAGAACCAGCTGCTTCTCGGACATGAATCTGCATACTTCATGGGCTTCCAGGTTGTGCAGATAATCCCCGAAGAACAGCTTTTGTGGGACCTACCCAGTTGTGTGTGCAAAGGAGGACAGAGATTCCCAGGGGTGAGGATGACCGACCCCTTGAGGCCCAAACTCTGCCCCTCTGGGACCCGCCCCCTGGTAATAAATCCCTGATCTTCAGCCAGCTTGAAATGCTTTGAAGGGGAGTCGACACCCCTCCATTGCTTTATGGTCAGCTGCCCGGATCTAGAGGGAGGGATGGTGGCTGCCACACACGGGCAGGTGAGCCTTCCCTGGAAACCTCGGGTCACGTGGTCTTGTGGCCCTGCTCCCCACCCTGCCCTCATCCCTGACGACCTCAGGTTGAACTCCATGGGGACGGTGTCATGTTTGTCTGGAAAGGAAGCTTTCTGAGGGCACCACTGCCTCGCCTGTGGTGTGCAGGGTCCTGGAGAAGGCGTGGTCCCCCCTCAGACCCCCACAGGGCTCTGGGCCTTTCTCCGTCGGTGCAGAAGGTGGGGGTTGGTGTTTGGAACAGAGGACCTGGGCTTCACCTGAGTGTTGACTAGCTGGGCCCTGTTTCAGTTTTAATGATGTGGTTTATTCTACTAAAGGAGAGAGAAGGCTTTCATAGGTGTGAGCTCTGTACGCGGGGCTGTGGACCTGCTTGTGGACATGTGTGCATATGTGGGTCTAATATCTGGAATAGACTCTCTTCGTGTTTTGCAGTCTTTGAAGCTGGGTATTTTATTTTGCCCTGCGTGTGGTGACAGCAGTGTAGAACCTTCTGTTACCATAAAAGTGACATGTGTTTTGAAATTAAATAGATCACTTCCTCATTTACGCCTTCCCACTCCCACCCCCTGTTCATGGAGGGACGACATTTCTGCAAATACTGCCAACTTCCCAAATCTCCTGATAACCAGCGCATCCCACTCATTCTCCGTGCCAGGAGAACGCTCGACACAGTTCATAGCCCCTCGGTTGGCAGGCAAATTATGATTATTAGGTAGCCTTTCTATTCGAGGCAAGAAGGCACTAATAAATTATTATCCTCTTAAAAAATTCACACTTAACTTCAGTAAATGTGGCATCACCACATTTATGGCTAAGCTTCTACATCTGCAGATGCCAGCAGGGCACCAGAACGTCAGTCTGGCCCTCTGCTGTGCTGGCATGCAAACCTCCCTGATAAAAGACTCAGGGAGCGAGCCTCATAATTCTGCAGAGCATGGAGAGATACGTAGCACGAAAGGGAACAGATCAAAGTTCCCAACCATCTCTAGGGGCTAGAATGCTGAGTCCAGGAAGGGCACCTACCAAGGACTGGTGCAAAGTAGCACATTTAGGGTTAAACCAGTTGCCTGAGTGGGGGTGGGGGAGAGACAAAATGCAATGAATCTTTGCTGAAAATATTTGCTAAAGGGCTAAGTTGAAGCACACAGAAGCCTACGGCTCTGCACCAGAGTCCAGGCATCTGGACCATTCGGAGCTGCTGGAGCCCAGTCTGAGAGGAATGCCAGCCAGCTGGAGGGCATCACAGAGGATGGTCAGAACCGTGGGGGCACAAAGCTTGGTGCAGAAGAGAGTGCATTCCTGGGGCCACGGGACGTCTATGGGAGATGCAGCCGCCGCCACCCATGTGGGCGGTTCTGCAGGACCAGAACTGACCGAGAGACAACTAGCTGGGAACTTAACCCAGGAGGAACTTTGCGGCAGTAAGAGTTTCGGTGTTTCACAAGTGCTGGGTGGGGGACCAGCATGCTCCCAGGGGAGCCAAGAACCCCTGACCAGGATCCGGGGGGTTTGCCTCGGTGGCCCTGATGACCCCCCTACAGTTCCACTGAGATAACACAGTTCCACACCACACATGCCGCTGCGGCCAAGTGGCAGCATGCTCCCCCAGCGTCGGAGCTGTGTTTGGGGCCCCACACTGGCACCCAGGAAGGCCCTCCCTACGTCTTACCACAATTAACTACTGCAGTCACATTCATTTTCCTCTAGTTAAGGGGAAAGGCTTAAGCTCTTTCAGCCACCAAATGGCTCCAGAATTCTTTGCAGGGTGGGAGTAGGTGGAAGGCTGGAGCAGTCAGACGGAGCGTGCTGGCAATGCCGTGGAAAGAAACCCACAGATGTCTTCTGTGTGGTAACTGGTGAGGGACCGCCAGGTAGGGAACGATGCCGAAGGCTCTGTGCTGATGACTGAGCTCTCAGGGGAGGGGGACACTGTGTTGCCCTTAGCATGTTTAATATCAGCCAGAAAGCTTTCTGCACACCTCTCTCTTTTTTCCTGCAAGATCTGGGGGGGTCTTCTGTAAAACTCCAGCACATTCGTGATGAAAAGGTCCAGCGTTTTTAACTTTCCAAGGACAAGAACAAAGCTGTCATCAAGCATTTGTCCAATAGAGTCTAAGTGTTAAAAGATGACGGAGCTGGGGCACCCCGCCCCCTACACAGTTATTTCCTGAACATAAGGGGCTGAACTGCCTTACCTGGGGGTCCTGGGAATCCTTCGCGACCTGGGTCTCCTGGGAAACCCTTGAGCCCCGGTTCCCCATCAGCTCCCGAGGGTCCCTGCATTCCTCTGAGACCTTTGGCCCCTAAACAGCCCAAAGAAAGCAGGATACACATCAGGGCCCTGCCAGGAAACTGCAGCAGCAGATGCACGGGGGCGACCAAGTCCTGCCCCTGCATTCACATGGTCTCTCATGCTGCTGGGGAAGGAGGGCGCTGGGGCATGTCCCGCAGCTGGCCGCACCACCCCACAGACCCCGCGGACCCCAGCAGACACTGCCAGCTGGCCCTCCCAGAGCCCCGGGTGGGCTGGCTGGAGAAGGAGACTTCCCCGTTTCCTTGGCGGACACACGCGATGCAAGCGTGCAGGGCTCAGGGAGAGGGGCGATTACAGGATAGGTCAGGGGCTCTCAGCACAGGAAGCCCCATGCCGGACAACGGCCCGGAGGCCTGGACTTCTGAGCCCTCTGCAGTGACCAGGCCTCAGATCACGTCTCCTGGCTGTGCGTGTGGGCCTCTGGTCCTCTCTGACCACAGAAAACTTTGTCTGTATAAGGTTCTTTCATGAACCAAGGTTTGCAAACTGATGCTAAGCATGTGTTCCTAAACACGGAGTATTCTTGGGAAAAATCCCTCATGTCTGTCTCCACCAAATCCAGGCTCAACATCACAGGACACGAGACCCAAAGCCCTCCAGACCCTGTTCAGCTGTGTGAACCCTTTGTCACGGCTCCTGGGGCAGGGCCTGCGGGGCGTCACTGTGTCGCGCAGGACCTGCAGAGGCGGACAGGGCACTCCAGAGCCCCACTGTTCCCCCTTCCCTGAAGGCCTGACTGCAGGGCCGCAAGCCAGCCTGAGGGACGCCCCTGAGCTGAGAGGTGCGAGCGCAGGCCTGCTGGTGGCCGCTGGGCTGCTGCCGTGTGCCCCTTCCCTCGCCTCTCCTGGAGCTTTAGAAACAAGGTTGATGTCGGCGTTCCGCGCAAGGGTCCACCTCGCGTCATCTTTGCCACTCTGCTCTGTTCCTGCTCCTGCACCCCAAACTGGGGACAGCCATGGGGCCAGATGGCAATGTTCCTGCGCTCCCTGCCCCCACCCTCTCCCGGCACCAGGCGGCTCTGGGCTCAGGAGCAGGACAGACATGATGCCTGTCATGTGCCCAAGGGATTCTCCAGCCTCTTCCAGAATCTGCTTGTTCCCCTTCTCTCCTTCCTCCTCATTTTTAAACACAATGACTCAAGCCAGCCGGGCCACATGTGGGCACAGGGTGGCTCCCGGCCCCGGGCCCCGCTCTGGAGATCTGTCCCCTCATGTGGTCCCGGTAGTTGGGGCACTTGCTCTGCGCCATCCCAGGAAGCCCAGCTCCCCCGGGACCAATTCCCAGACTTCTTTATTTGGTTTTCCATTCAGTCAAAACCCAAACATATGTTTTTCGTGAATGCCCTGGGACATGAAGGGGTCAAGGGGCCTATGTCAGGATGTGCTGCTGTTCAGGCCCTAAGGGCCCCGCCCACTGCTGCCCCTTTTGGTGCCCCCAAGGCTTGTGCCACAGCCGAGGTGGAGTCCTGCGTGACAGGAACTTTCTGTCCGGGCAGGGATTTAACCAGGGCAGGGCACGTTTTTCTATGGTGATGAGAAAAGTCTGCTCCCAGGACCTGACCACAGCTTGTGGGAGAGGGCCAAGGTGGTGGCGCCCGTCCAGAGGTGGGGACACTGGTGGGCAGTGGATGGAAGGAGCACGAAGATGGGGGGAAGGGCACAGCTCTGGGCTTACCTGGGGGGCCACGAGGTCCCGGTAGGCCTGGCAGTCCTTTGGGCCCTCCAACACAGCCTGGGGAGAGAGGACACGAGATGAGCTGAGGGTCCTTACTACTGGGCTTCATAGCTTAGGGTTTGGCCAAGCTCAGAAGCACCAGCCCTGAAAACTCCTATTTTATGATCAAAGCAATGTGATGATTTCATTAACCTTGATTCTGATATAAACACAAGCTTAATTTCATTGTATCATGAAATCAGAATGCAAATATAAAATATAAATAAAGCAAGTCCAGTCAAAGAGAAACTGGTGCTGGGCTGGCAACGCTTCGGCCTCTCCTTTAGGGCCATGCCTCGCCTGGCGTTGTTAATCTGGTCACCCAGTGACAAGGCCTTTCTCTTGTCCCCACACCCCAGCCGTACCCCCACTCAGGGCCTGCAGGGTGTGGGTGCACCATGGAGACCCTGCCCTCCCGCCCCCAGGTAGATTCTGGATGGCAGTCCTGCGCTCTCTCCCACCACCCGGCCTGGCTCCAGGTCACCCATGCCCTCTTCCTACTGCAGTGCCTGCTCTTTCTAGCATCACGCACTGCTAGATCCAGTTCTTCTCTTGACAGGTATCTGTGCTCACTCTTCACCATAGGTAACAGGTAAGGAATTCCCAGCTGCCCTTTACAAATGGATACACAGGGAGACAAATATATGCATATGTTTTAAGTGAGGAAACACTTATCTGTTTAGTTTCTACCCATAGTGCAAATTGTCACTTTATGTTGGTTGGAAAACCTGGTGACCCTGCTTTATTAGGCTCGCCTTCCCTCTGGTCCTGAGCAGAGGCAGACGGGGGCCAGCTCCAGGCTTTGCACATCATCATGTTTTGTCCTGCAGCCCCATGCCCGCTGCAGGAGCTCACAGCCACTGCTGGTGGGCCGCACTGTACACCGGAGGTTTGAAAGAAGCTAGAGCCGCCTGACCTGCATTCGCGTACCTGGCTGGAGGGTCTCCTGTCCATCACCTCCGATGGGCCTCTTCACTCCCGTATCACAATCTGGGAGGGGACACAATGCAAGTGGGTGATCTGGGGACACAGAGTTACTGACGTATCCATGGGTGTGGGGCGGTGGGAAGGATGCTGCTTCTGAACTCCCATGCAGAGCCCCCAGACCAGAGGGAGAGGCCCCGTGTTCCTACAGGTAGGGGAGGTGGTGGCCTGGAAAACCCCAGGCTGGGGGTTTTATGTGCTAGAAACCGATGGTGCAACACAGCGCTCTCATGTGCCCTTGGGGAATTCACACATTGCCAGACAGGAGCAGACGTGAAGCACAAGTGTCCCATGACTTTGAGAGAAGAGAGGGGACTCCTCCATACCTATTTGTCCTGGAGTGCCTGGGGGGCCAGGGGGGCCTGGGAAGCCTGGCGGCCCAGGAGTTCCGACATCTCCAGGAAAGCCATGCTCGCCTTTGGGGCCTGGCAGGCCCCGTCCTGGGGGTCCCATTTCTCCTGGAACGCCCTTCGTGCCAGGTGCCCCGGGGTGACCTGCGTCCCCTGGGGGGCCTTTGATGCCATCACCCTGTGGGAAAGTTCAGTTTATTTCTTCAACTATATATAAACCTCACAGATGGCCATATTTCAGTTCTCTTTCCTGTACCTCTGGCTTCTGTGCCCCAAGACAGAGCAGATAGCAGAGATTATAGGGACCTACAGTCTTGGTCTAACCATGTCACCGGAAAGGGCAGATTCCCTGACAGTCAGGGGCACCACAGAAGACGGTTCTGGAAGGCACACCAATGTGTTCCGTGACTACTCGTCGCTCCCTGGATCAGCACTTCGTCCCCAGGGAGAGGTCTGCATGACAACAGCGGGCATAGGTCTGGGTCAGTGGGGGCAGGACATGCTATTTTCACTGTTATCAGGCATTTGTGAAATTTCTACTATGTATAAGGGAGGGGCATTGCTAAAGGCAAGGAAGTCTGCAAGGTGGACGGGAAAGAGCAGTGCACTCCTGGCAACGAGTGTGGGCTGCAGGCACGCACAGCGCCATCCTGCTGATGGGGCTGCTGAGCAGCTGCAGAAAAGGGGTGAGCAATGGGCGGAGAGCAGAGCTGCGCCGCTGGCTTAGTGCTGATCGCACATAAATGAGCCGGCACAACATCACACAGGCGAGTTCCAGCCGGCCTGTCCAGCCGCGGACACTGGGACACGCTGATGGCCGGTAGGCAACAGCGTCTAGTAAATGAAATGCACCCTTCCCCCTGCCCCCCAAAACAAAGACCACCCCATAATCATGCTTGCAGGGAAAGCACAGACACTGCTCTAACCACTACAACGACCCCGTCCTCTGGCCCATCCACTGGCTGCTGGCTCCCACCTCACTGTCTCTGCCTCTGCCCTCTACACAAGACCAGCTTAACAAGATGCTTGACTGCAGAGCTCTCTGTGCTTGGGCAGCATCCTTGCCAGGGCAGAGTCCCCCATCCCTGACCCTCGCCGAGGCCGCCCAGCACAGCTGCTGTCCGTGCCTACAGACAGGGACTCAGACTTGGGCTGGCAGGTCGCATCATCGCGTCATTTCCACATCGGCTGGACAAGTGGCCTCCATGTGGCAGGTGTGGCAAGCCACTGCCCAAGGGATGACATGGCAGCAGAGGGCTACACAAATTCTTTTTGGAAATGACTTCCAAAGTGAAAACTAAAGGGCAACACTAGATTATTAACAATCCAGGTGTTTCCACAAAGCTCAAGCAACCTGCCCTGGAACCTAACAGTGCGGCAGCGGGAGAGATGCAGCCTCGGTGTGCAATGGGCGAGAATGCCAGCAGAGACACCGAGGTGTAGGCTCGGAGAAGGGGGTGTGGGGGCTGAACTGGGTCCCCACAAGACGCTGGAGTCCTGACCCCAGGGCCTGGAAGCTTGACCTTGTCTGGAAACAGGCCTTTGAGGATGACTGTGGTGAGGTGAGGGCATCAGGTGGCCCTAGTGATGTGTGACTGGTGTCCCTATGAGAAGGGAGGTTTGGACAGAGAGGGCAGGCGGTGTGAGACAAGGAGGAGAGGGCATCTCCATGCCAGGTGATGCAGAGGTGCCTGGGAGCTGGGGGGCTGGGACGGCCCCTGTGGCCTCAGGAGGAGCTGCCCTGCCCGCCCTCCGCCTGGCCTCCAGGCTGTGGGGCAGCAAGCTTTGCCGTTTAGGCTGCCCAGTCTGCTGACTTGCTCTGGGGGCCTCAGGAAGCTAAACTGGTTGCTGAGGGGGTGGAGGCCCAGGCTTGAAAACCATAGGGAAGAAAATGGAATCCAGAAAAAAAAAAGAGGTGAGAAGTCCTGCTGCAGCACGAGCAGAAGAGGAAACTCCGGAACAGTCCCAGGAGGGCACGGGCTCAGGCGAGGCCAGGAGCGGCGGAGGCTGGTGCAAGCGGGGTCCCAGCTCTGCCCCACCTCGCGGCCCTGACCCCCGCCTTCCCCCGAAGAAAGGAGGCCGGGTTCCTGCACAGCACAAGGCGTCCTCTCTTCCAGCGCTGGTGCACAGATCGAGTTCATGTGCTACAAGGGACCCTGGACACGTAGGGCCCCGCCACCCATTCCAGAACGTCCGATTTGGGAGGCTTGAATTCAGTTCAACGGGGAATATTTGTTTACTCTCTGACTTCTGTATGTTCCCTCAAGGCTTGGCTTCCAGCCCAACTCATTGTCTCCCCAAAATCTATGATTTCTGCTCAGTGAAGAACGGTGGCCCTGGGGGCTTTGGGGCAGTGCCAGCACCATTCGCCGCTCAAGGCTGAGAACATGGTGGGTCAGGATGAGGGCCGAGGCGGCCTCACACTGGGGCTACTCACAGGAGGGCCTGGGAGGCCCGGGAATCCATCCAGCCCGTCACGCCCTGGGATGCCGTTGTCACCTTTCAGGCCAGGCACACCTGGGACACCTGGCTGTCCCCTCTCACCTGGGAAAGGAGGTGCAGGGTGACTCTCCTCATATGGCGCAGTCACAGAGGGGTTATCGGTCCAAGAACTGCATGGCCACGTGAGACTGACCTTTCGTGGTGACTGTTCTAGAATCTCCCTTCAATCCCTTGGGCCCAGGAGGTCCAGTGTCACCAGGGGCCCCCTGTGGAAACAAGCACAGAATTGCTTTGTTAAAGGGACATTGTTAACAAAGCCCAGTGCTGTCCACGCTGGCAATGCTCTCCAATTGGCCATCTAACACAGTGGCCACGCCACAGATGGTTCCCGAGCACTTCAGCATGGCCAGTGGGACCAAGGAACTGAAGTTCTAATTTTAAATAATTAAGACAATGGAAGTAGCCACACATGACTGGATAGTGAAAACCAGAACCTCATCACTCAAAGAGCAGTTCGTGGACCAGCGGCATCAGCTCTCCTAGGAGCTTGTTAGAATGCAGAATCTCAGGCCCCACCCTGGGGCGAATGAACCAGAATCTGTATTTCAAATAAATCCCGGGGATTCATATACTCATGAACTTTTGAGAAGCAATGATCTAAAATACAAGGTTGCTAACTCTTAACTACAATTATTTAGAATCCAAGCAGGTACTAAGTCTCCAGGTACAAAGGGTGGCAATTTGTGAACATTCCATATTGACACAAAGAGTATTTCACTGACAGCTTGTCTTCCAAACTGAAATGAAGGCTGGGAAAAATCAGAGGTTAGAGACAGGCTTATTGCAGAGGAACTCACCTTTTAGGCTGCAGAATCTAGGTCTTCCAATGAGCAGAAATGAGCAGGTGAACCACTCGGGATTAATTTTAATATGTGTGATATGCCTATTTGTGGCAAACCTTGGCTGTTGTTATTTGCAAGCATGCAGGAGCTGCTTTTAGTGTTGGTTAATTAAATGGAATGTTACAAGTGATTGTGAGCTCCTTTCTCCTAAAAATTCCACAGATACTTGATTTATTGACTTAGTTTTTTGCAGAAAAGGATGACATTCTTTCAGTAGCCCTGACAGTGACTCTAACAGATGGTACTCAATCAGTAGGTGTTGGACAAGTGGATGGACGATGGATTCATTGACTCACTGACTCCCGTATTTCAAGCACTCTGCCAGACTATCATACAAATATTAACAAACACAAGTCCACCTCAGGCATTTGCCCTGTAGTGGGTGGCCAGACACATATGGTTAAATGCAAGACAATGAACACACCAGAGAGCTTGAACAAAGTGCTGTGGGCATGTGTTATACAGCTGGGAAATTATGCACCTGGCAGATTTTAGACATTCCAGGTACACAAATGGGGTCCATTTGGCTTCTAGGAAATAGCCAATCATTTTATGAACAACTGAAGATGCCTCTGGTTTTACCATTAGTAAGTTTGCAATTCACTGTGTCCACTTTTACACGCTTGGACAGCCATGACTTGGAGAGAGTGCACTTTTGAACTAGGATAGAATGTAGCATCCACTGTTTTTAGTTGGGTAAAACGATTTTCTAAGAAATTTCAGGGCACGGAGCAGAGAGGTGCTTTGGATCTCATTCTCACCTGCAAAGCTCCCATGCCATGAAGCAACCGACTCACCACCTTCTGCCCCAGCAGGTCTGGGTGGCTGCCATCCTGCACTGTGTCTTGGAGCCAGATTGTTCTAATGGATCCGGGCCAAGTGTCCTGAGCAATTTTTCCTCTATTGCTGGATATATAAGATGATAGACTCTTCACTTTATAAATCTCCTGCCATTCTCATTTCAAGTAGAAAAATAAATTAAAAAGTGTAGTTTCTTTGCATTCAGCTGGAATTTGCTTTGAAATCGTCGGTTAAAACCTGCCATGGAGGAAAGATCCACTCCAGATCATCTTTTCATAAAGTGTGAGATAAAGTCCACTTAGCTGACTCACATGGGTAATCCACAGGCAGGGAATTTCATATATTTGTACAAAGTGAATTGATGATTTATTTGGAGTTCTCATTTTTGTCAGGTTAAGGGAGGCTTCATAAAATGCAAAACCAATTCTGTACTAAATCTGAAGAGATGAATACTCAAAAAGATGCCTTACATCAAAATGTTATAAGGGTTTGTTAAAGATATAATTCATCTGCCATAAAATCCTTTTAGCGTTTTCACAAGGTTGTGCAACCATATTATCTAATTTCAGAACATTTCATCACCTCCCCCCAAAATTCCACACCAACTAAACAGTCACTCCCCAGCCCAGCCCCCCCGTCCCCGGCAACAACCTATCTACTTCCTGTCTCTAGATTTGCCTGCTCTAGACACATTATGTGAATTGTGTCGCATGGTATCAGCACTTCTGCGTCTGTCTGTTTCACTTAGCATGGGTTTGAGGTTCATCGCATTGTGGTGTGTACCGGAACGTCATTCCTTTTCCTGGATGGATAATATTCCATCTTACGTGTATGCTGTTTTGTTTATCCATCCATCATCTGATGGACATTTGGGTTGTTGCCACTTTTTGGGTTCGTTATTAATCTGCCATGAACAATGGTGTAAATGTTTTTGTGTGGCCGAGTGATTTCAGTTCCCTTGGGTTCAGACCTGGGAGTGGCCTTTCTGGGTCACGTGGCCACTCCCTGACTCTTTGAGGAACCATCAGTCTAGAGCAGCTGCGCCATTTCCCATTCCCACCAGGGAAAGTGCCGAACTTCCTCTTGGTGCATGTGGCTTCTCTGAACGGAGCACTGGGTGCATGTTGCTGATTTAAATCTGTGTTGTCTCTTGGTAAATAAAAGCCGAGAACGGCAGAACGGGATAGGTGTCAGGGCGTCTGACCAGCCCCGACAGAACTGGCCTCTCACCTTGAACCCCGGGAACCCAGGGATGCCATGCTGACCCGGGTCTCCTTGGCCCCCTTTCTTCCCGGGTTCCCCATTGAGGCCTGGGAAGCCCTTGGATCCTGGGAGCCCCGGAATACCCCTGATGAACTGATCATCTTCTGCACATTTACAGTCGCCAGCGTCACCTGCAATGTGAGGGACAGGCAGGGACTGTTATTTAGTACAGAGATGAACATTCTTCTTGGCTTTTCAGGTGACAGAAGCCCACGGTGGGAGGGGGCTGGACCAGGGGGCTGCACTCCACATCTATGCGTGCGTGTGCGTGCAGGGGGACACGGCTGCCCCATTACTTAGACTGGAGTGTGTTACTCAGGCGTGCTCAAGTCACGGCCTCCTTGGGATGCAGAGCGCTACTGTGATGAAGATGCCCCAACCCTGGGGCCGTGGGCAGAGGTGTGTGCAGGTGAGCAGTCAGTTACAGGGACCTGCAGGAAGCCAGCACAGGACCCGGGCCTGGGGAGCTGCAGGGGTGGGTGGCCTGGCAAGAGCTCAGAGGCCTTGATCCTGGGCAGGCAGGGCAGAAACAGCCACCTCCCTTCCGTCTTGAGGTGGCTGCCCCTGGGGAATCAGTGCAGGTGGAGGGGGGAAGGTCGGCTCCCCAGGGCACAGACGATGTAGACGGTGGCTCCGGGGGCCCAGGCTGTATGTAGCTCTGCGTGGCTGTCTGACGGCTGCAGGGCACCGGGCGCCCACCCCTCCCCCGGGCACAACAAAGGGCAGCCTGCGGCTAAGGGCAGAAGGCTACCCACACCCAGGACGGGATTGCCGAGCAGGTGCCTGCGAGTCCCCGGGCAGCCTCCCGGAGCAGGGGTCCCGGGGAAGGGGGTGCTGGGCAGCAGCCGGCGGAGAGCCGCAGGCCGCCTGGTGCCCGCCGAGGGGGCGAGGCGGGCGCCTTACCTTTCCAGCCCTTCTGCCCGCGCGCCCCCGGGAAGCCGGAGAGTCCAGGGTAGCCTGCCCGGCCATCCGCTCCCTTCAGGCCGAAGAGGAAACCTGCGGGGAGAGCCGGCGGGCGCTGTCAGCCGCTGGGGCCGCCCCCACTCCCGGGGGCTGCTCGGCCCCGCGCCGCTGCCGGCGCCTTTGGGGCGGAAGAAAGGGGGCGCCTCGGAATTCAGCTTTTCAGTCCAAGCCGGAGAAAAACTGGTGGCTTTTAAGAGACAGAGTCCAAAGGCATGTCTTGAGTTTTGGACCATTTTATTTACGTGCTAACGGCATGGGATCTGACACGAGTTTTATTTTTCCAAAAGACAAAAAAACAAAAGTTGAGCAGATGTAAAATGCACTCACTTCCCTGTGCTCCCCTCCCCGCCCCCGGCCCTGCCCTCACTGCCCGGGTGCCCAGCGGGTCCAGGAGGGCCACGAGCAGCACCACGCTCGCTGGCCGGATCCGGGTCCTCCGGGTGCCCCGCCCCTCCCCGCCCCCGCAGCCCCGCCCGCCCGAGGCCCAAGTTTCGCGCGGCAGCGGGGTGTCGGGGCAGATCTAAGGGCCGGGGCTCCGCGCAGCGCGCCCAGTCGCCCCCTGGCGGTGGGAGCGGGGCTGGCGGCCGCCCGCCCGCCGGGCTGCCTCCCCCGCGCCCTGCAGCGCTCCCAGCTCCCGCGGACCAGCAGGCGCTCCAGGGCGCTAAGGAACGTGTTTCCCCACGGGGCCGCTGAGGGGGCGGGCGGGCAGAAACACCGATCTCAAAAACGTTCAACACCGACTTAAAAAGCCATCTGCTTGGGAAAGTGACCCCAGAAACTGAATGTCAGGGTCCCTGAGTAACTAGAAATACTTAGGGAAAGGTGGCAACAGCTAACGTCCCAGGCAGTTTGTTCTCACTGCACATTTAATATTCATGCACCAAACATTTCTCCAGAGCCTGTGCTAGTCCACAGAGAGCTGGGAGCTGCGTGCATGGCTGGAGACGAAGCTGACAGACGCTCAGGGTGCTGCGAGGCTAGTGTGCAGACACAGAGAAGGCACGCGTGAGGAACAAAGCAGCCCAGCTCCTCTGTGGGGGCAGCACCGTTGGAGCGGGCAGCTACCCGAGCTGGAAAAGGGGCGCCCCGGGGCACCAAGACCTAAAGGATAAAAGCGAGTCAACCAAGAGCGGGTGGGCGGGCGTGTGCCAGAGGGTGCGCGTGCCCCCAGATCCTGAGTGGGGAGCAGGCCCGGCACTGGAGGGCGAGCACAGCGGGTGGGCTGCATGAGGTGCTGAGGGAGGTGTGCCCTGTAGTCTAGGGAGCGGGGCCGGGACTCTCCTGAGGGGCAGCAGCCACTGGGATTTTGAGAAGGGAAGTCACCCAATCTGAGTTACACGCACACATTTGACAGGAGAAGGATGGAAGCTGGCTGTGAGGGGCTGGCTATTCTGACAGACTCAGGGTGAGATACTGCGGTGGCTTCCATGCGACCAGGGCAGCGCCATGAAGAATGATGGACACTCGGGGGGCTGAGCCAGCTCGCTGTGGGTGGGCGTGAATGTGGCACACGGAGGAGCGAGGTGCCACTGCAACCGTGGCAGGCCCGGCGTCCGGGCTGTGGGGCTGGGTGAACCCCGTGGGGGGTACATGTGGGGAGCGGGAGACCCAGAGCTCAGTTTTGGACACAAAGCTGTGACTGTGACAAGTTAGTGGTTTGTATGAAGTTGGAGCTCTGCATGCGGAATGATCCAGAGACACAATTGGGGAGGTGCCATGTAACCTGCTTAAATCCAGGTGAGTGGTGAGTACACCTCACCTGTAGAGGGTACAGACAGAGGGGCCAAGGCTGGACTTCCACAGACTCATGGTCTACTGGATGGGCAGAGGGGAGAAGAGTAGGTGCCAGGAAAGAAACCTTAAAAAGAATGGCCAGCGAGCTGACGGGGAGGCAGGGGTGTTATGGAAAGTCAGAGAGCATGGAGGGGGGCTGCCTACTGCATCCTGGGCTGCCGAGAGGTTGGGGATGAGCACAGGGGCACCCCTATGATGTGGCTCCACGGGTCATGTGGCTCCAAGTGGTGACCAGGTCAACAACATCTGTTGGCTGGCAGACTTCTGGGCTTCATTTTATGGCTCCACGTTCTCCCAATATGTTATGAACATCACAGGTAGGTAGTTACTTGTCATGGTACTGAGGGATGTCCGCGTTTTAAATTTGAGCAGAGACTGCGGTGTTCCTGTGAGTGTTCACAAATCCAGTCAAAACTTGTGGCCGCCTATGGTGCCATCCTTCCTCTTTCCTGTGTTGCTTTTCTTTACTAATAGTAATTTCAGGCAAGTCCTGTAGAATAGCTGTGTACCTCTTGGATGTTTCAATATGCTTTTCCTGAAAAGGCCAATGGCCTTAGCAAACCAGGCAGTATTTTGATTTATTCCAGAGCACAGTGGAACTGCCCCAAGAACACGACCAGTTAACTGAGCTGGAACTAGGAATAAGCAAAATATTTAGCTCAGAAAGAAAACTGACTTCACGGTTTGATTTTGCTGGAAGTGCAAAAGACTAAAAATTCTGGGTTTTGTGAGTAACAACACATAAAACAGGATGAAATGTGGTTAGCAAGTAAAGAATCCAAAAATTTCAGTCTTGGGGGAAGAGTTGAAGAACTCTGGGGAAATCAAGGTCATTGATATTAAATTATTACTATACATAAAAATGTCTTAAAAGGTGATCACGGTTGGCTACATTTTGTGCAAGAGATTGCTTAAAAAAAGTGATTTGGAAACAATGTGTCTCCTAGGGAAAAATAAATATTTTAAGGAGAACTTAAGTTGTATGCTTTTAAAGATGATAAAATTCATTGGATATGAACCCATCTATTTAAAAAATCCCCCCTCCAGTCTACAAGATGAAGCAGAAATTAGCTCCGTTGTTTATAGATGACTTATGTTAGTAAACCACACATTTACTAAGCAAGATTTATAAAGCAAGGTGGCACGTCTTTGTGTCTTTATCCAAACAAAATTTAGTTACAGGAATCATGGCAAGGTGCACCTTCCCTAGAGTCCTTCAAAGAGGCATTTTTATGCTGTGTTTTCACACATCATGTTCTGTTGCCAAAAAAATAAACACTCAACAGATACCATTTGCTCAGGAAATACAATGCTCACAGAAACTCAGCCATTATCACAGATGTCACAGTAATAAGTATTACTTCCAGGATAAAAAAAAAAGAAAAAGAAAAAGAAAAAAATAACAGTGCTCAAACTATTTGGCAAATTCCAAGGAAATATCTGAACCTAAACATTTTCAAAATAATGTGAGAATCTGGTTTTTCCAGTTGAAGAAAAATTGGAAAAGTAGAACGATATTAACTTAAAAATTTACTGTAGAATACAAAACAGAGGTGTGCTGGGTTTTTTTTTGTAGAAGTTATGTACAGATCTGCTTTCAATAGCCTCAGCATTTCTCCTGGAGATGGCGAAGAGAAGTCATCTTCCAAAAAACAATGAAAGCGTGGGTTTCTCAGTTTGACCTTTAACTGAAGCTAAACATCACCTGTTAGCAACTACGATGCTCTTCTTTCCTGAGGAGTGGAAGCCACGAGAGGTTATTGGAGGTGATGTCAGGGTATTTAAATTCAAATACTTTGAAAAAAGGCTGTGAACTGTGGTCTGTGACACAGAGGAAGGAATTGCGACCTCATATTTTCTTCCGATGTCCTGTTTATCCAATTTCTTAAGGGGATGAATTGTTCCCATTAGGCGATTGTATGATGTCTCCAACAACTCTTCATACTTGGAAGCTGAAAAGAGGAGCTGTTTCGATGCAAAGCCTCCTGCCTCGGAGTCATTCTCAGCCGAGAGCCATTGGCGGCGGAGCCTGGGGACCACCGCGCACTGCGATCCGGGGCCTCGGCGGCCTGCCGCCCACACTTGCCTAGTTCACAGCCTCTCACGGTCTCAGCATGGCTGAGAAGGCGGACTGTCTAGGCTGCTCAGTTGTCGGTAGAGTGGACGAGAGAGGCTGCTGGCCAGGGCAGGAGGCCTCCGTCCCGAGGAGGGCAATGGGGCGCATCACACGCACCCCCGACGGCTCCGGCGCGTCTGCTGCCTGCCTGCGCCTCTCCGGGGCCCCGCGGAGGCTGCGCCCCGCGGAGGCTGCGCTCGCAGGGCCACTCCCCTCCAGCCTTCCCGTCCGCACCCACCGCACCTGCCACCCCCTAGTTCTGAAATTAGCAGAAAAACCCAACTGGAAGTCCCGCTGGGGCCTGGCTTCTTGTCTGGACGCAGGAATCACCCCCCCTGGAGTTTCCCTCGACTTACCGTCTGGTCCGGGCGGTCCGGCAGGCCCCGGGGCTCCCCGCAGCCCTGGTGTTCCGTCAGCTCCCGGTGGGCCCGGGTACAGCGCAGGGAGGCCCGGTTCTCCTATGAAGCCTTTGGGTCCCATTTCGCCCTGGAAGCCTCTCTTCTCATCTGAAAATCCAACAGCAGTCGCGATACTCAGGGGCTGCGCTGCATTCCGGGCCGCAGGAGGCCAGAGGGGGCCAGTGCGTGCCCAGCCCGCCGGGCCTTAACGGGGCGGGCGCCGCGGGCATCGTGCATCACCAACCTTCACCTCCAGGAGGCCCCCTCCTCCAGGGCGGCCATCGGCATGTGGCAGCGCCACCTGGTGGCTGCCCCGCCCCTCCCCTCCCAGCCAAGGGACAGAGTCACGCTTGGTACTCGTCGGGGCCTCAGGCCGCCTAGGTGGGGGGTGCCGGCCACAGGCCCAGTGGTTCTGTGAACACGTCCAAAACGCAAGCACGGGACCTGTGAGGACGCCGAGCCTTATCTGGGAGAAGGGGCAGCACCAGCGAGGCTGCGCAGCCAGTATGGGCGGGGCTCATGTGAAGACCTAGGGGATATCTTTCGGCTCTTAGTTTAGATCCTTGGTTTTGATACATTACCTTCCCCTCCGACGGGCGTGCCAGGGGGGCCTGGTGGGCCGGGGTCTCCTGGTTCACCCCTGCTGCCTGGCTCCCCGTGGGTCCCTGGGAATCCAGGATCACCTCTGGCACCTGCAACCAGACAGGTCCCACAGCATGAACAGCAGTGCCTAGGACTCGTGACGGATGCTCACCTCTTCATGGAGGCGTGCTTCCATGGCGTGAGGGCCCGAATGTTTAACACAGGGGGGCCCCTGTTGTCAAGGAGCTCTTCCCACAGAGGGGTGACACAAGAGTCCTATAAACACCCTAAAACAATAGAGAGGCATGGAAGGCCACAGGGATACAGAGGGGCTTCAAAGGCAGGGAAGATTATTTTGGGGAAAAATCTGATATTAGGGACCGCAGAGAATAAAAGTAGAAGTAGGTAACATTTTCAAGCTCATGCTGTGCACAAGGCTCGGATTAAATATGCTACATGCTTTCGATTCCCAGGTGATCGGTGGCTCTCAGGGAGGTGGATTCCCAGGTGTTGAGCATGGATTCAAGATATACTCATTGATGGTTCCATGTCACCGCAGAGAGAAATCTGCAGGGGGCTTTGCTGAGCTTTTCCTGTGCCTCTGTTCTGTTCTATGTTCTCATCAACATTGGATGAATACATGTAAAGGAAGTTACTAAACCGAGAGATGGCTGCCACCTAGGTAGGAAAGTGAGTCCTTGGTCCCTGGACGTCTGTGGTACATAGGGTAAGCCAGAAGATATCCTGGCTACAGGAAGAAAACATTAGAACATCTTTACTTAAAAAAAAACCTCACTCTTTATAGTCCCTTTCTGATGTGTAGGCTTTAGCATATACATTATTCAGTTGTCCAGGTAGATATTTACTGAGCTCCTGCTACATTTCTCGTGCTATTCTAGAAACCGGGGGGTACAGTGGTGAACCCCATAGGCTAAAATCCCTGCCCCTGTGGAACCTCCTGTAACATGAATAAATTAGCCATAAATACATATGTGTATGATTATGTGTGAATACAGGGTGCTGAAAACTTTGTTTTAACCTAAAAGGACACACATTCAAAAAAGTTAAGAGACCATTGCTCTTATCACAGAATTGGAATATTTCAGTGGGAGCTTGGAAGGCTGAGCTGAAATAACCCGACACACACTAGCTGCAGCATATGCAGAGCCTTCATGTACACGCTGAGGTCACCTCTGGCGGTGGGAGGTCTCTAGGGGAGTCATTCATGGGCAAGTATCTGGGGGTTTAGTTCCTTCAAATCTAAAAGGATGAGACTGTTTACAGATCACGGATTATGACTGATTCCAGGCCTCAGAGGGCAGAGAGAGGAGCGTGGGCATCCGAGTACATGTGGCGCAGGAACAAGAAAAGGTGGCTGGGACAGAGGCCTGATGTGCGCGAGGATGGGGTTTCCCTACTGGGACCGCAGGTGGCAAACCAGAGCTGTACAAGGTGTGCAGAAAAGAATTTCCTGATGGAGGGCTCTCCCTCCCTCAGCCTGGGGCGAAGTGAGGGTCTCTGACACACATTTAAGCCACAAGAGAAGTTGTACATGAGACAGATTCTCTAGAGGATGTGTTCTACGTATCTTTTTTTGCTTTGTTTTGCTTAGAAACTCCCTCTTGCAAGTCCCTGACTGTGTGTGGCACTGGAGAGAAGGTGTGTGTGATGTGAGTGTGCAGGAGAATGGGCATACAAACCTTTCCCCAGGGAGGGATGAGGAGAGTAGGCAGGTGGTCCTGCGGGGCCCGGGTCACCCGCTTCTCCCTGGAGAAAGAGAAGAGGAAAATGGAGGCATGGGAGACCAGTCCTTTGGAGTGTGGGCCATCCTGAGCATTCCCGAAGAACAAGGCTGCGTGCGGACCATCAGCCGGCAGAGTGGTGGTTCTGCGTGATGGAGCCGCTGACCTGACTCTGCAGCCATGACAAGTCTGGGGGTCCCAGCCAGATGCACAGAGAGACGACAGGTGGGCAGGCGCCAGTCTCACTCTGAAACCCTTGTCAGACACCAGAAGTGGCCTGGAGACTGTGCGTCCACAGTGCGGACTGTTGTCCTGCTGACATGGTTATCTGCCCACCCTGGGCATGAGGTGGGCATCATGAACCACCCGACATGACACCATTCCAACTGTCCGACCTACAAGTCCATGCACAGCCTTGACGTCTGTGAGCTCATGCGCCCCAGAGGCCATGAGCTCCCGTCCTCAGCAGGTCCCCCCACCCTGTGGGAAAGCCTGCCCACCCGTCTTGTCCCCCTACCCTGGGCTGGAGCAGCTGCACCCCACCTGGTCCTCAGCCTGCTGGGTTCACCTCCCTGCCGGCCCAGGAACTCTTCAAACCAGGCAGCTGTATCCTCCCTCGGAAGCCGGGGGGCCCCACCCCTCTTTACCACACAGCCCTCCCCTGTCGCCCGCTGCCCACTGGTTCGTTCTGTCCCCGAGTGCAGCCCCCTGTATCCTGCGTGGCTGCCCCATCCTGAGGGTGGCTACATGTGACTGATAAGCCAGTGTCCACCGCGTGTGTCCAGGGCTGGGCATCGCATGTTTGGGCACCCTGGATCATACAGGACGGAAGGTGCTTCCTTCTCCAATAGAGTGAAAAGGAGGCAGGCAGAACACCATCCGGAAGAAAGAAATGAAACCGTCCACATGAAAACTGGGCTCACCTTGGGTCCTGGGTGTCCGTCAGGGCCTTGGTAACCATCCAGGCCTTTGCTTCCCTGCAGGAAAGATGATCGGTGCTCATTTTTATCTCTAACATACAATTTAAAGATGTGACCACAATAAAATCACGACTATCATTAGGTCTAATAAAATTAACAATAATTTGTTAAAGTCACCTACCACCCAGTCTCTGTTCAATTTTCCCAGATTTTGGTCTCAAAACTGTATTTTCAAAGTTGTTTTGTTTGAATCAGGATCCAAACAAAGCCAAACATGACATTTGGCTGATATGTCACTTAATTTTCTTTTAATTCGTAATAGTTTCCTCTTCCTGTCGACCTTTTTAGTAACATTTTTGTTGTGACCCCTGAAGACGCCAGGTTATCTGTGCTGCAAATACCCTACGGTGGATTTTTCCATTGCATCCCTGTGGTGCTGAGTCACATGCTCCTCCATCCCTCATTCGTCTTCCATCTAGTGGCTCCCCGGGTGCGGGTCCTCCTTCTGAGCAGGGTGGTTCACGGAGGCAGGTGAACTTCGTCCTGCGTAGCTCCAGGAGGCTCACAGGCCGGGATGCCACTTCAGTGAATTCACAATTGACCAGCGGGGTCAAGTGTTGACAACCTGATCCATCCATTGAGATGTTTTCCCCCATGACGGGTTTGAAAAATTTTAGTGAACACCAAATAGAAACATTAAAGCCTCTCAATTTAGAAATTTTTTGTCTTCATGATATATTAAAAAAAAACCTCTAATGTTAATTATTGCTTTCTATTTCCCTTGAATATTTATTGAAAAAGAAGGGTTACCCTCATGAGCCCCATCATATCTGGATAGACAGGTAAAGCCGTTAAAAAAAATCTAGAAATTTATTCCCACTTGCTAAAAAATGTGTATAGTAAGGCCCTCCAAATTCAGAATGGCAGGTGCCAATGGTGTAAATAATGGACATCATCTGGTTATTTTACATGATATTTTGAAATCCAGAAACATATCTGCTGAAGGTCATATTGTCTAGAATGAACTAAGATTGGCTTGATTTTGTGTTTTACGGGGTGGGGCCAATGATTTAGACAGACTTCCTCTCACACCAGGTGGAGCTGGAGATTCAAAAGTGAAGGCAGATTTCTCTGAAGTTAAAAAATGACCTGCTATTTCAAGTCCATCTCATGAGACAGGCAAGGCATCCTTAAAGGGCTTGCCAATGAAGGGCAGTTGGCAGCTAGCATCCAGCCTGAGTTGCGTCCAGTGCCAGCAGCAGTCCGACCCACATGTGCTAAACTCGGGCAAATCGACGCCATCGCTCACTGTGCTGTGACACCACCAGCAGAAGCAGGCGTCCCCTGTGCTAAGTGTTCGCCACCCGCGTGGATATGCCAAAGAGGCACCAGTGTTTCTGAAATATGTCTGAGCAATTTGGAATTAACTGGGTGTTATAAAAACCCAACTGGAAAAAGGGGAAAATTAAATAGCCCTCAGGATTCCTCTGACATGACTGGCAGCTGGAACCCCAAGAGCCCAAACAGTGATTTAGAAGTTTCCCTGTGTGTTTTCAGCAGCAGATGAATAGACTGGGGGTGGGGTGGGGGCTGACATGTGTATAAGTCAGCAGAGTAAAGGGAAAAATGCATACACGATTCATTGGAGACCACTGGCACTGGGACCCCACAGACTGAACTCTGAGCCCAGGCAATGATCTAGACTGTTCCCCTTGTGTTTCTAGGCTGCAGACCTAGCAACAGGGGCAGAGGGACCAAGGGTGTGTGGTCAAGGAGGGGTTATCTGAGGGTGTCTCCCTGAGTGGGGCCAGAAACCACAATCCCGGAGAAGCTGGCTGGGCTCGGGGGGTTCTGAGCCCCTCCCTGGAAGCAAGGTGTGTGCTGATGCTAAGACCCCCCACCATCTGAAGAACTGAAGTTAGCAAAGTGAGATTCATAAATGTCTGTTTAGGAATGAGTAATTATGAAGAGCTTTGGAAGTATACATTTCTCTCTCCCCACCCCGGAATATTAAGAACATGCCACTAATTGGAATATGGACAAATAAATGATTTATGAAATGTTCTCACTGTAGAATTTTAGAAGCAGTCAATTTTATGTTTTTCAAAGGTGAAGATAACACAAACTCTGCTCAGGAAAATCATTAGGCAGAGGTCACTAGGGTTGGACTGTAACAGATGGAGAGTTTTATGATCGGCCTGATATGGGGAAATGGGGGCTTTCCAGCATTTACTGCGCTGAGTGGTCTCCCCGGGCCCTCACCTTTTGCTTGTTTCCTGCACCACTTCAGGGGCCAAGGAGCTTTAATCAGGCACCAGGGCATCTAAGTCATGGGCCTCAGTAAAGAAGCACCTCTGCTTAGAAAGCCTGCCTGCCTGAAACCCAAATGGGACTGCGCACCCCAGAGGGGAGGTCAGCCCTTGGAGGAGCCCCGCACAAGCTCACGCGTCTCCTCTCGGTCCTGCAGAGGCACCTCTACGTAGCCATCACTGCCCTGCTCAGCCTGCACCTGGTAAGAATGCGGTCATCGACCGCCACCCCTGGTACAAATGTGACTCAGTGGGGCCCAGTAGCTCCGACACAGCGCAGAGTCCTGCTGATAAAGGGAGGCTTCCTGGGACACGGCCCCAGGGCTGTCGGTACTGCTGACAGAGACCAGGTCTCAAGGGGACACTGTCTTACATAACTCCAGCCGTGAGTTATTTTGCTCGCTTAGTAACTGAGACGTCCCACTTAGTTGGAAGTGGTGCATCTTTCCCAGTGGCTTTGAGAGAGGAAGCTGGAAGCCTGGGCCTCCGATCGTGACCTGGGGCCACAGCAGCTAGAGGCCAGGTGGTCAGTGTCTGCCGGGCATCTTGTCCCACTTAAACGTCAGAGTTCCAAGAGGCAGCTGTGTTGAACTGCATTTTACAAACACTGCAACTCCTTAGGGTCGGGTCTAGAAACACAAATCGGTTGTGATCTCACTAGCACGTGGCAGGCGAAGATTAACAGTAGCGCTTTAATTTAGTGAGTGGGGCAGAAAGTGGTCACCTCGGAATGCTAACACTCGCTTTAGCTCTCTGTCCCTGAGGTCCCTGCTTATTTTAATCCTTAAAGGAGAATTTGGCCTTTTCGCCTCTGGTGGGGGTACAGCTGGGACAGCTCTGCCCCAGGCATGCTGGCTTTGGGGAATACTCCTATCAGATACTAAAGACATGAGAGTGGGGGCGATTAGGGCAACCCTGGTGTGGTGCCCTAGCCTGAGTTTAGGATAAAAGGACTGGGATGGCAAGAATGGGGTCACCCGAGGGCGCTGGAAGAACTTGAGATGGGTGCTCACTGCTGGTGGTCAAGACCAGTACCCAGAGTTACTGCAGCCTGTGCCTAGAGCCAGGTAGGTCAGAACCTGGATCTGGGGGCTCAAGTCCATCAGTGGCCCGAGGATGAACATGAGGGAACTGCTTGCGGGGTGCGGATGAGCCCTGAGCTTGCCAGCCACACCCTTATGGTTTCCCAGATGTCTCGCTTCCATCCTGAGATGGGGTCATGAGCCGCATTTCCTGGACTCCTGACTCAGGTGCTGAACTGGTTTTTAAAAAGTCTATTTCTAAGCATCTAGGACTGAATTACGGGAATACGAGTCCATGGGCACCCAGCTGTATGCGCCATGATGTTAACCGTATGGTGGTGAGGAACAGCAGAAATTGGGGGTCTGCCAGCAAACGCCATTCATGCAGCTTGTTAACAGAATTATCTCCAAGGTGCACGGGTGATCAAAGAAGCGGTGGAACAGCCGTGGGTCACCACGTCGACAAACTCCCTAATATGCCAAAGAGGGGTGTCAACACAGGTGTGCAGGAAGCTGCGGTAGGCAGGGGCTGGATGGCGGGGGCCCCAGTGGGAAGAACCAAGGGCCTGGTTTGCAAAAAGAAGGAGAAAGGCGAATGACCTGACGTCTGCACTGCGAACAGTCTGACAAGGATTATTCATACTACTACCAATGCAGGGTTTTAAATGTTTTTTTTTCTGGGACACAACAGTCTTCATATTTGACCTTTGTGAGATGTTTTAGGCCTGAAGCAGCTTGGACTTCCTGCATCAAACTTACTTTTTGTCCTGGTGAACCTTTTTCGCCATCGAAGCCAGGAGCGCCCTGGGTTGAACAGAAAACAGAAACAATAACAGCTCAGAATAGGCAGTAAGGTTTCCAGAGAATGTTATCAGGCACCTGACTTAGGCGAGGGTAAGATACTCTCCCATGAATACATCAAAGCAGCTGGAGACTCCTTTAATTTCCTAAAGGAAATGGATTTTAACTTTCATATAATGTATCACATCTGTCACTTGAAGAAATAGGGAGCAGTCCCTGACGATGATATGGTAAAAATCATAAAGGAAAAGCCCCTCACGCCAAGGTTCTTATGAGTCTTGGTTCTGATTCTCGGAGACTGTAACATGTCTTTTCAGTGGTAGTGGTGCCAGGTGGTCACCACAAGGCCACATTATCTTCCTTCTGGCCCATGGCTCTGACCACACTTCCCTGCTGGCCTAGGGCTAGGTTTGGCCAGGTGACCGAGATCTGGCTGTGGAGGGATGCAGCAGGGGCAGGTGCGAGCCCCGGCCCTGCCCTGAAGGGGGTCTGCCTGGGGCACGGGAGCTGCGGCTGGCTGCCCCTTCTGGGAGGAGACATGCCCTGCTGCCCTCTGCCCCATCTGGGACATGTCTTAGGGCTCCTTGTGCTGGAGACAGCCTACATTTGTAGGCTAATTACCGCAGACTAATTTGCTGAATTCAAGCAGAGGTGTGTGTGTCCGCTCCTACTTTCTCCAAATGCAGGAGCGTAGTTATAAAACCAGTGACGGGGTGTTGGGGGTGCGTCAGTCAGGCAGGCACCTCTGGCCCAGCCAGGGGGTCACTCTGCGAGGAGCTGACCATGGGGATGCGCGTGCCAGGAGAGGCAGGGGGTGTGCAAGAAATCTCTGTACTCGGCTTAACTTTTCTGTGAACCTAAAATTGCTCTGAACAACAAAGTCTACTTAAAAACCAAAGAAACGGAACCAAGCTGCAAGGTAGAGAATGCGCGGCTTACCCGGGGTCCCGAAAAGCCCACGATTCCTTCTTCTCCCTTCAAGGAAATGCCCTAGGAGAGAACAGAGGCCTGAGCGAGGGCGCCGCCTGCTTCGCCTGCGTGGGCTGTCTCCTGGCGCCCCCACGGTGGCCGGCCTGCCTCTGCGGTTCTGTCTCCCAGCCCAGCAAAAAGGTGGTTCACCCAGTCTGCCAGCCAGCCTAGACTACCACCTGTCCAGGACACCACCTGTGCTTGGCACACAGTCAGTGATGACTGGGGGGTCTCAGGGGCAAGAGTGACAGAGACGCCCCAGAGGGCGAGCGAGTGTGCAGACACGCCTGGGACGACGGAGGCCATCAACAAGCCTGCCCCTGCAGTGTCTCTTTTGAAGAATTTTTAGCAAATATTGATTAGTTGGGTGTTTATTATGCAAAAAAGGATGACATTCTAAAATGATTTTCTGAAAAGAAGCTTGAAAATAAACGATAATAGTTTCTTGCTGGAGACCAATGGGTCGGAACCAAGTCTGTGGGTTGTCACAGCCCCGCACAGGCCTCGCTGCCACGGCAGCAAAGATTCGGGGCCCAAGAGGAGAAATGCTGTTGATGTTTGTTCGGCTTACCTTCCTTCCTGGCTCCCCCTCACTCCCTTTTTCACCCTGTGACAAAAATGAGAAGAAATGCTCACTAATCCGAGAACAGCATACTTAGAATTAGGGTTTATGATATGAGGTGACAAATATTTAATAAAAACTACAATGACTATAAATGAATTGTAACAAAAGACTCTTTCCTACACTTTGCAGCTTCAAAATTCAAGGGAAAAACTGTGATAGTTCTGGATTTTCACAATATAAATCAAATCATGTCTTATTTTGCATATGATTGCGAGGCTGTCTTCTCTGTGAGGGTTCGGTCATCACCCACAGGTGCAAGCACTTATTAATATCCTGTGGAGGGAGTACATGCCCAGGGAAAGGCCCCTAATGATAATATTCATTTGCATAAAATTTTTTAGTTAAGTCCTGAAGAAAAGGCACACTTGTAACCTATTAAAACCCCAAGAAAAGTGGCTTTGCAAAGCAATGTCAATCTGATATGATCTATTTTTCCGACTTCTCTTGGTCTGAAATGGTGAGAGAAACGTAGTAACTGGCAGGGTCCTTCTCTGCCTACTGCAAAGGCAGCAGCCAGGGTCCCTGCACCCTGCAGGCTGGCCCCAGACCCACCCCCTCTGGGTTGCAGAAGAAGAAGGAAATTGGACTTGGAAGCTTGAGCATCTCAGCAGGGATGGACCAAGCTCTGGCCCCACGCGCTCCTTGGCTCCCATCCTGAAACTGGCTGACAGTCAGGTCACCACCAGGAGCCAGCATCCGCCTGGACCCCACCCTGATGACTTGGCGGGGACCCCTCCCCACTGGGTGTCTGGGACACCCTGCTCTAACTCAGCCAGCCCATGGCCTTGCCTTCGGACACCCCTTCCCTGGTGGTCTGCTTTGCCCCAGCTTCCCAAGCCACTTCTACCAGGGTCAGCTGGCTCATCACCGGCGGTGGTGGCATGGCCCGGACCGACTTCTTTCCCAAGGCAGCCTGCCCTCTTCCACCCATGACTGAGTGCCCAGACCCCGTTCAACAGATTCTGGAGGGGGTAGTCCACGTTTGGGGGTTTTATTCTGGTTCCCATGCAGTGTCCATGCCCAGCCTGTGTGGGCTGTTCCTACCGCGGTCACCAGCTCCACCAGGTCGGGGCTGCCACCCTTACCTGGGACAAGGCTTAGGAAGGTTAGCCACCCATCTGAGCCAGGCAGTGGAAAGCAGGGTGTTATTTTTATTTAGACTCCAGTGTGCTTTTAGTCAATGAAATATTAATAGAAATTGTAAGACTCAGAAAACTGACTTTGATCCACAAAAGTCCACAGCGATGCTCCAGCAAAGACTAAAAGGAGGTTTATTTTGCCTGATAAATAAAACATTTTGCTCAGGGAGGTCCACATCTTGGCTTTGCATTATGTTCTGTCAACCTCTGTCTACACTGGAGATTTGAGTACTTAGGACAGATTTGAAATTTTTCTAATGGTTTCTCATGTTTCAAATCCACTGCAATTTTTTAAGATGATAGACGGGTGCAGCCTGTGACCGTGAGAAGGGCTTTCATGCATAATCTGCTAATTTAGTGGTGAGAGTTCTTCCACTTTGGATGTGATTGTTTGAACAAGCTCAAAGAAAATTACCTTTCTTCTCCTTTTCATAGTTCAACTGAGAATACTGTCTGTTTTGCCGAAGCCCCATTACCTTATATTGATCCGGACGGAATATTTCGCTTGTGGGTCCTGTGCCGGCATAATGGGTGTCTAGCGGAATCCCATTGGGTCCTGGCTGTCCCATGTCGCCCTGTGAGTGGTTTAGCAAAAGTAAATAGTCTTTATGTTGAAAAGACACCAAGCTTGAATCCCACCACAAACTGTTTAAAATTTTGGGTATTACATATCACACATACACCAATTTTGTAACGTTATATTCATCTTATAAAATAAAGTGGTCGTTACATAAAACTATTTGTATCCTACTTGCACTAGTGATTTAGAATTTAGTCACAAAAGCTGTTTAGATTGCTCACAATTGGGGGCTGCACGTGCTTCTGTGGAATTATCTGCTTATGATGATTATCCACAAAAGGACATGATGAGGTCTGAGGGCTAAATGCCGTTACAGCTGAATGTCTTGATATGTATTACTCTACTGCTTTCTAAGACTAATACCAAGATATAAGAACTGCCCAGGAAATGCCAGACTGCTCCAGTTCACACCGTTTCACCAGCTAAGTATGCTATATATTATGAGGCAGCATCTTGGATGAATATGATATCTCAAGATTGCTGTAGTTTGCATTTTTTCTCATTAGCAAGGACCACTCTCTAAGTGATGCGCAGATGGTGGGGCCTGTTGCTCTGCATGCTACTGGGCATCGATCCTGGCAAAATACACTGGTTCCACTTCCCAGGAATAACTGGTGCAGAAAAATACTCTGTTTATTTCGCTATTTCCACACATATGCTCTGTCACACTGATTTGAGCCCAGATATCACATAATATGGACAGGAGCCAATTAAGATGATATATCAACTGTAGCAAGTGGTACTCCACAGTACAGGTGAGCATCTGTTAATATCTAAAAAATATGTACAACCATTCCTCTCCCTTCACCTGTCAGGATCTTGATGTGTTAAATTAATATCTGAATAAACTCTATGGAGATCAGACATTAATTTCATTTCCATTCTACCTAATGTGACTATTCTCCCTTCTGCCGATGATTTATTCCCAGATTGCTCTTCTTATGTCATTATCTTCCTATTTTGTTATATTTCATTGCACAGGAGTTTAAATATTTATGTATTGAGAACTTTCAATATTTTTCTTCTGTCATTGTTTGCTGTGGTTATTAGCACAAAGAGCGGTCTTCCCTTTCAGAGCTGAGCAGTACTGGACGCCATTCCACGTGCCGTTCAACCCAAAAGCACAATGCAAAACAAAATGAAAGTGTCTAATTTGCGGGGGGGCACACAGGTTTTGTGGTGGACATGAGGGCATCATGTGCTGGTGACGTCTGCTTGCCGGGTATGGGTGCCATGTTGAGCTTCTCCTACCACTGCAGGGACTTGCAAAGCGCACACGGTGTGTGCTCCGGCCTCTGAGCCCAGCCAGAGCTGCTTCCTGCTTGCCTGTGGCTCTGGCTTTAGTCGCCCCCCGTCACCTCTGGATCCTGGCGTCAGGAGACACCTCAGCGAACTGACTTTTCCTTACTGGGCACTGAAGATGCTGGAGTTATGTCCACCTCAGGGGTCCAGGGCTGACCCAGATGGCTTGCTTTTACTGTCTTACTGACCCCTGACTGTTCCCTGGGGCGTGTTTCAGAGCCTGACATTTGGCATTGATTATTTCTTGTGCAAATGGTCTGGGGCAGAGCGCCTCAAAAACAGTGGTCATTCACACGGTCCATCTCCTGACTGCCGAGCACCGCAGGCCCCGCTTTGACCATTATGTCTCCTTTACCTTCTCGCCCTTTTCCCCATAAAAGCCAAGTCCTCTGTTGCCCTGAAAAGAGAAGTGGTTTTCATAAGTTATTAAAGGTCGACAATCACCATCAAATAAAATGATTTTTTTAGAAAAAGAAACCTAGTCTTTACCTATGTGCTGCATTACTGAGCAAATATCTTTACAAGAAATTCTGGCTTCACTTCCCAGAAACTGACATAAAAAGAAAATTAATGTATTTTCTTTTGCTACGTCTGCCTATAAACTAGGTAATAACTACTTGAGCCCAGATATCCCATAATATAAACAGGAGCAGACTGAGATGATGTGTCAGTTGCAGCGCGTGGCAGTTACAGTGAGCCTTCACTGGGGTTCAGCCTAAATGATGAGAATTCTGGGGTTCAGAAAATGCATGTTGTTCCTTTAATACAGATGTGCTCTTAAGAAATTTTAAGAAATGCATATTTTATCCTCTAAGTGAAACCTCAAGAGGAGTGGACTAACAGCAATTAGTCTGTCCCCCTTGGGAGCTTGCTTTCTGAGATACATTCTCTTATTCAAGCATCCTGATGGCCAGAAACTGGAAGGTATTGTTCATTCTGCACCGGCTGCCCTGTGCTGTGACCCTCCAGGGCCCGCACCACGTGCTGAGCCCGGACGTCACAGGTGGGAGCCTGCCCTACCTGGGGCGGCAGAGCTCAGACCTGACGCCAGCTCTTCCTGACCTGTCAGTGCGCTGTCTCTGCAGGTTCGAGTCTCAGGGCAATTTCTGGGGTTGTGGGTCCCACACTCAGAAAGTAGCTGTTTTCCCAGAATCCCATACTCGAAGATCATGATTCTTTCTTTCTTCTGCCTCAACCTTTTTTCATTTTGGCAAGGTGACCCTAATTTCACGTAGACCTTTCTTGCCCTTTCAATAATTTTAGGTGATGATGATTCTTTGGGTTTATCCAACCTTTTGATTTTCCTTTTTGCTTAAGAGCCAAAGCTTACGGGGCCAGCAACTTGAATGTATTTGATAGTGTCCCGAGTGGAGGTGCTGTGGGTGAGGAATTGACAAGGCCCTGGTGTCTAACACAAGCACACGTGAAAAGCCATGGTACAAATTTACACACAATAGAGAAACAGGACTGTTTCCTTTGACCTCCAAACAGCTCTGCTCCTTTCCCACAGCGTCACAGCCCCAATGCAGTGGAGCGCCAAGCAGGGCCCTATCTGATCTTTCTCTGCAGTATACTGTCCACCCCCCTCCAATGCCCAGACATGCTCTGAAAATAAAAACAAAGCCTTTAATTAATTTTTGCTTTTTTGCTTCTTTCCCACCTGGCTGGGAGCTGAAATCAAAGCACAGAAGCTCAGCCAGGCTAGATTGGCGTGTGATGCGCCCGGCCCCTGTGGTCTCTCTGCCTCGGGAGCCGGTTGTCCAGGTCACCAGGAAGTGACTTGGTGGAGGGTGACGGCTGTTTGTGTTGCAGCCAAGTGGGGACCTGAGGCGACCTTAGCTGCCTGGTCCTACATCCGCCTCTCTTGGCTCTGGGACGTTCCCACCCTGCTTGGGGCTTTGAGACAGTGGGGAGTCCAGTGGCGGAGCAGCTGCCTTAACAAGCTCCAGCCCCAGCCGGAAGCCGTGTCAGAGGTGGTGGGAGCCGGGGACGGGCGCGGGGGCAGCTGAGGGCCCCAGGAGGTCACAGAGATGGGATTTCCGTGGGGCACACGTGGGAATGTGCATGCTGGGAGATGTCCTCGGCCACGCTCAGCCACGGAATGGCCCTTAAATGATGGTAACAGCAGCCCAGGATCGTTGACTCATGTTGAGCTTTGATCAGGGACTTCCCTTGCCAGTCCCTTCTGTCTTGGGCATTTATCCACTCCCCAGGTCATACCGAGCCCTAGTTCTGCCTCCGAGTTCCAATAAGCCGCCTGCTCTGTTGTGCTCCAGCCAATATAATAATTCTCTGATGGGAACAGGAGCATTTTGGGCTCTAGCCTGACTCAGACATCACTGGCTACATCCCTTGAGGCTGACATAATGCTCCTGCGGAAGCTGCCTGCGCCCAGCTAAGAAGAGTGCTGTCGGCTCGTCTATGCAAGCAGGGCTGCATTTTGCCAACTCTGCTAAACTGACGCATTTGGATAAACACGAACTGTCCCTAAACCTATGCTTCTGAGAAAACATTCATTGATTTCATTGTCCTACGACAGCAAGGTTACATGATTCACAAACAACAAACCATTCACCATGTCCACTTATGCACTGCGCCGACTACTCCGGGGGCACCACTGGGTATATCCTTGCAGTTTATGACATTAAGTCTTAAAAACCTACGAAATGCTTCTCATCATGCAATAAACACCACACAGTTGTTAACCAAATAGTTCTGTGGTCAAGAAAGATGCACAGAAATGTGACTGTGGTGCGCCCACGAACCAACTTACTGGCTGTCCTTTTGGTCCAGGGGGTCCAGGCGGGCCCTGCACAAACACAGAGACATTTGTGAGTGGTTTCCTTTGTCCTAGGACCCTGATGCCATCTGCTAGAAAGCTCTGCAAAGGCTTTCCCTGCATATTTAGAACCCCAAGCAGCGTGCACAGAGGAGGGAGGGAGGAAGGACTGGCGGGGGACTGGGGTCAGGCCCAGTTCCTGGAATTTGCCGGCTGTCCCTGCACAGCTGTTTTGGGTTTGCTTTTCTGAGTTTGAACATTTGACTTCACCCGTGTCCTGTTCATGTTCTGGACCTTTGCAAGGTCCCAGACCCTGTCACTGCAGAGGCCATTTCTCCTGACTCCCCTGTAGGGCACTCACTGTCCAGCAGTTTTGGCTGGTGGGCCAGCAAATGTTCACCCAGAATTAATCTATGGGCCAATTGCAGGGTTGGAAGCCCGTCAGCAAATACCAGCATGCATCTCTCTGTGAAGCGTCTGGGGTCAACACCACACGTAGCACGAAGTTGTTAAAATGCGAGAGAATGATCGGTGTTTCATGCAAAGCTGGGGCCGGGTGAGGCTTGCGGGTGGTTCTAGTGGCCCCTCTGAAGAGGCTGAACCTGTCGGATCAGCTAGAGACACAGCAGGTACCACCCGTGGGCTGAGAGTTGAGTTTTCTGACCTGCATATTTAAAGAATGAAAACCCAAGCTGTGTGGTGCGTGTGCAGTGAGCTGACAGCGGTGTGCAGCAGGAGAGCGGACACTCTCCTCACAGAACCCTCGTTCCATCCCATTTGGCCAGATCTCTCATAGCCAGAGGGCCACAGGCAAACATGACGTTCACAGCACCGGGAAGCTTGCTTTGTAGTGACAAAACGGAGCTCTACTCTCAACTCCAGTCCGGAGGTGATTTTTGAGTGCTTGCACTCCCAGTGGTTGCAGTGACGGAGGTTTCCCCAAAACACAGCTCCTCCCTCTTTGCCAAGGAGCTGAAAACACGCCCCCCCTTGACATCTACCTCAGCCTTGAGCAATGGTTTTCTGTGAGAAGGTCTCTCACCTGCAGCCAAACCTCTCCTTTTGTAATTCAGGGCCTCTTTGTCTTGCTACTAAGACACGTGGGGTGTGAGTCAGGCAGCGCAGCAGCCAGTCGTCTCCTGGCCCTTGTCCCCGGGGAGGTGGCCGAGGCCCACGGTCGTGTCCTTGCCTCCTTCCTCTCCCTGCGGCCAGCCCCCTTCATCGGGATGTGCAGGGGCAGGAGTGCCCGCAGAGCACTGCTCAGGTGGGATACGAGGGCCATTTTGCCCCATGTCCCCAGCTCACCGTGCCGACCCAGAGCCCATTTCCTCCTTATGGGCTCACTGGACTTTGGTCTGCTCTGCCTGGGGATAACAGGCTCCTTGCCAGCTGGCTGGGTACGCCGCCGAGAGATAGGTGCGTGACCAGAAGCGCGCCCAGCCCGCACCCAGACAAAATCCAACGTGGTTGGCAGTGATTCGGTCACCCACGTTTTGAGTCCTCATTCCTCAACCATAATAGCAGCAAAATGCATGCAAGCGATGACCTGCTTCGCCTGACACCGTCTATAGTGACCACGGGGTCATCGCTGTGGCATGAGGCCCCACAGGCTGCAGAAGCTGAGCCTCTAGAGGAAGCCTGGGCAGCTCCCAGTGGGAGCAGGTGCACCTCGTACTTACCGGTCTTCCTGGAGCTCCAACAGGACCCATCTGCCCGATAGGCCCGGGGTGGCCGGGAGGCCCCTAAGGACAGAGGAGAGAGGGGTGTTTGGAGAGAGACTGGTATTTGGAGTCCTAAATCCTTAAAGTCTAGCTTGGAATATTCTCCAGTGAAAATAATACTTACCTGGAAGCCGACCAATCCAGGCTCTCCAGGTTCACCCTAATTGAGAAGAAATGATTTTAAGAGTTGTAGGTTTTAAGCATCTTTGGATTTCATTACATTTTTTGTGACATTGGAAACAAGTATATAAATCATATCAGCACCAGGAAGGCACGGCGGTGTTGGTGCCCTAATGTCTGGGGTGTGGTGGGCTTGGGAAAGGGACACACCCACGATTAGATATAAGTTGAAGACACCCCGAAGGGGGACTGGATGCTCGGTCTTGACTTGGGGTTACTCCACCCTCCCGTGCACCCCCCATCCCCTCATTCTCCCCACTCAGGGTTCCCTTGGAGGTCAGCTTTGTGAATCAGGAGTGGGCACAGGATCGCTCAATCGTAGACCTGTCTCCGGCAGTCTTACCCGGTACTTGTCACGGTCCTCGCTGGACAGTGCATAAGGTTCGCCTTTCTGCCCCTTGGGTCCTTCGGGCCCCTACAAGCACATGGCGGAGAGACAAGGGGCTGTGAACGTTCTGTGCAGCCAGGGAAATGTGGAGGGTTAAATACCGACTTTTATGGCAACGTCCAGTTGTTCTAACAGCTTATTTAGGTTATTCTGAACACCAATCACAGCATTCGACCACACAGATGAGACTTTACTTTCGTATTTATCCAACAGTGTCTTTCTTCAGAGTCAAAGTGCAAATGCTTTATAGGATTTAAATTATTTTCAAAACCTACATGAATGCTCAGTAAACAAATCCTATATACCAACAGGTTATTTTTCTTATAATAATACTGTTTTGTGTTTTCTTTGCCATTTGGGTACCAAAGATATGAACACATATATTCTGAAGCACCTTGTGGGAGGCAAACCCCCTGGAATTGTGTGAAACAGATGCCATATGTGTACACACAGATATGTATAAATGTCTTTTAATACCGATACATAAAATCAGTATTAAAGTAATGGGTATGTTTCCTGATAATGAAAGTTATGATATTAGCATAGGCTAGAAAATGATGTAGCTCACTGAAGAGTTGAACCAAATAAAAAAGAAACAGCCAAAAAAAGAGAACTGGAAGTCAGAGCTACCGATACGGTAAGAAGTCTGTTAGCTTCGGGGGAACACTGGAAGGGTGTTCGTGATTGCTTTTCCCCCAATCTGAAAAATACTTTTTGAAATAAGAAGTTTTTCCAAATAAAATGTTAATGTAATCCTGAATTTGCACTATTTTGGTGGTAAGAGGGTAGTAATATTGCACCAAAAATTATTTCAAGATTCTCTGCAAATACCCTGAAAACTAAATGAAACTGTGAAATTAGTAGTTAACATTTTTTTCCATCAAATAATATACAATATTTTTTCCACTAGAAACATAAGCGCCTCCATTAGGTATGCTGGAGAATGTCATTGTTCTTTGATGTCATAAAGAACTTCAGAATCTAACAAAGTGGGTGACTAACAGAGGAGGTTACCGTGCTGTACGCTTTACGGCGGCAGTTTAGCTGTGATGCTGTCACTCACTGTCACTTGAAATGGAACATAGGAAAAAATGCAGAGATGTGCGGGAGGCAGGAGGAGTGAACGATATAAACCGAACCAATTACTGTCTATTAACATTTCAAGAATAAGGAAAAAAATGAAGTTACTGGAATCCAGGAAAATCATCCCGAGATATGTGCAATCACACATCGGCCGGGAGAGGTGCTTCATCCTGACCATTGTCCAAGGAGAAGGGAGCGCGTTTTCTGCAGGTCACGAGGGGCGTAGCGTATGCCTGTCCACCCTCACTGCCCAGGGCACAGCAGGCAACCCGCTCCTTTGAACGTTTCTCCAAGACAGCTTTTTAAAGGGGTCCTGGCCTCGGCCTTTGATGAGGCCCGTGAGAGAGCTCAGGATACAGCGTCATTTCTGTGTGTCCACCAGAAAGCGCCAGCCGTCGGCTTCTAGAGCTAAGCCCGACCAGCACATGCTAACACCATACTCACGGGAGGGCCACGCCGCCCTTCAGGCCCGTGGGGTCCCACGTAGCCGGAGTCTCCTATGGTCCCATTGCAGCCGTCATGGCCAGGAGGTCCTCTGGGGCCACCCTGCCCAGGATGTCCCTGGGAAAGAGAAAAGTGAGTGAGTTTTCCAGCCTCTGGTTTCCAATTTCATGGAACTTTGTGATGAAAGAGCCCTAAGTATTTTCTCATCAGACATGTCCCTAGGAAATGACAACTCCAGAGGGACACATGAATGAAGGAAAGATTAGGTCTCCAAGGGCGCGGGGCACAGTCTAGGGGGGAGAAAGGTCGCAGGATGCAGCTGCTCCCATGGGCTCCCGGAAGAAGAGTACGGCTTGGGGTTCTCCTGCCCTGCTGCACTGGGCCGTGGGGAGGCAGGCTTCAGCAGGGACAGGTGAGGGCAGAATTAAACACTGGAGAAAACGTTCTAGTGGCAGCAGGCTTCCTCTCAGGCACAAGGAAGCCCTTATCTGTTGTGCCCAACTGGATTTCAGACGGTGAGTTTGACAGAGCTACATCCCAAACAGGCCAGAGATCTCCTGTGGGATGTCCAGGGGCTTGGCCATATGCAGAACAGATTTCCTAATCTTGTTTATAGATTTCACACACAAACAGAAAGCAAGGCAGATGTTCTGAGACGTCTGGTGGGAGAGGGAACGCGATGTGATCACCTGTCCTCCGAACACCGGAGAGAGTGGGGCTCGGTCTGTGGCCACCTCAACTGCATGCGTCTGGGGTCAGAGACACCAGGAGCTGCGTTAGGGACCTGCATTTTAAGTACTACAAGACCACAGCCTGTTTTGTTATTTCTTTACACAACAGATGTTTAGATGTATGCCTTCTTCCTGTATAATTTCTTTAAAATTTTGATTTTGTTGACAATAGACCAAACATATATTCCAGAGTGATTTTTGATTAGGCCATTAGGATGTCTTTTAGATTTACCTTGAGAAATCTGGAAAATTTCAAGATAACTGAACAAATCCTACATGGAGTGCCTGTAGCCTGAATTATGTGAAGAAACATGATGAGAAAAGCAGAGTTTTCTTTTGTTTGCACATCTCTTTGCTTCAGGGGTTCAAAGCCATTTCTTTAACTGGTGCCATCAGGTGGGAGCCCCCTGGGCTTTCCGCGGGCCTTCTGGGGGACGCTCCTGCAAATCACCCAAAACGGTCTGTCCGGCTATGCCAGAGCCGGCTTCTGAGAGCCTCTGAGGTCAAGCCTTCCTTTAGGGGTCTCAGAGAGCCGCCCCTCTGAGCTCAGCCTGAGAGAGCCAGTTCTGCAGGCATTCTCGCCATCTGCGACGCTTTTCCTAAAATGCATCACCGGGTTCTTCATCTTCTCCTGTTTTGCGTCCGCTATTGGCCTTTCTCACTCCCTCAGGATCTGTCTAAGGCATTTGAAACTGCGTGTCAATCCCACGTTAGTTTGAAATCATGCTTCAAGCACATTTTCAATGATACTGAGCTGAATGTCCATCTCTTGTCCAACATCTAATAAGATATATTTCTGTATGAGTCAACACTCACTCTTTTCGTGTGTGACTCCTAAATGGCTAAAATGACCCAGCCCTTCAAACTCTACTTTCATTAACTGCTTAGATGCAGCAGGTGACGCTGGGTTAACTTTCGTGTCGGTCCAGAGTTCAGCGGCTGGAGAGATGATGTTGGGCAGCCTGAGATCCTGGGGCAAACGCCCAGTTTTGGGCTCCTGTCATCATTCTCCCATGATGACGACTTCCTCCCCAATTTGTGAAACACTTGCCTCTGACATTAAATAGGAATGACGTGGAAAAGCAAATTAAAAAATGATACAGAGTAGTTAGCAACACTTTTCCATAATGTCACTCTACTTAAATTCAGATTTTGACTTCTAGAAGACAACACTGACGAATAGCCCAAAGAGCTCAAAAACATAGTTTAAAAATGGGCAACTGAGTTTGAGACACTTGGTAGGAAAATACTTTTATTTGTTTAACTCTTGAAATCTGTGGATTCTTCACATCTGCCCATTTCTCAAGCTGCTGACTAACGTGGGAGCTATTTCCTGGTCTGCTCCGAGCTGTGTGTTGCAACCAATGTGTGTGAGTCCCCACTCAGGGCACGCAGGTCTTGCGGTCGGTAAAGGTGGCTTCCTTTCTGCAGCAATGACAGCTCCGTCCTTCTGCCAAGAATCTTCTTGAGAGTGGGGCTGAAGCTCTGAAGTGAAAGCGTGACTTCTCTGGGACTCCACTGTGTCCATTCCTTCCAGCCTCCTGCATGGGAGCTGCCGTATGTGTAGCCAGGGAAATAACGAGTCTCTCTCTCTGGGCGTGTGCACACATGTGCATGTACACATGCACACATGTGTGTGTTCATGCGCGTGCGAGCATGGGGATGGAAACCATGTGTGTAGGGCAGGGTGCAGACATCTGTGTATATGTGTCAGATTCCTGGAGCAGCTGTCCGCAAACTTCAGCAGCAGACAGATGGGAGGAGGGTCTGAGTGCGCGATAAACACGTCTGTCCCGAGGCTGGGATCTGCAGGAAGCGGGTCCTGGGAAATCTGCTCATGGATCCCTGGGAAGAGGGCTGTGAGTCAGGCTGCTTTGTTTATTTTTTTATGCCACAAGCAGTAAAATAAACTAGGTTAGAAAAACACATTTTATTGCATTTTGAGATTTTTCTCATGGACAACCCATGCCTTTTCTTCTTCTCTTTTATGTGTGGTTGCGACAAAGAATTTGAGAAGCTGCACAATTATTCATTAGGACTTTATTATGTCCACGTTCTTGGCTGCACTGCTTTATATTCGGTCTGTCTTATAGTTCAAACAAAATTCCAGGACGGCCTCTTTATTGAGCATATCTGAGTAACACGCCCACTTTTCATCCGAAAACAACATCCAGTTTTAGTAAAGTAGCCTCAATTCTGAAGCCAAGTCTAGAAGAACATTTACAAGGGAAACAATTTGTCCAATATTTGACTGGATTCCAGAAGAAAAAATAAGCACATAGCCCCACCAGTTCTATGTTAAAAACAACACCGGGGCCTATGAGGATGCCCTGTCAGTCATGGAAGTATAGCTCAGCCTGAGTACCACATGTAAAAATTTTAATCTCACAAAAAACTTACGGGTATTCCATCGGCACCGGGGAATCCAGAAACGCCTCTCGCGCCCTATAAAGAAGGCAAACAAGCTTACCGGGGGGCCAGGATACTCACTGACCCGCATACACCAGGGGACATGGGCGCGCATCCCTACCACGTCTCCTTTCGGTCCTGCGATCCCGGGCGGGCCCCTCTCGCCCTTGTCGCCTTTGCGGCCCTGCAGTCCTGGGAATCCCTGGAGCCCTGGGGGCCCATTGTAGCCCTGGGGGCCTACTGGCCCTGGCTGGCCCTGTGGAAACAACATACGTTTAATTTCCACAATGAATAACAACAAATCAGCATTTTCAGTCAGGCTGCTTTTGAAACTGCCCTTTTCATTCTCAAAGAGCTGTAATCGTCAGAGAACAGTGTACATTAACTACCATCTTCAGCCACAGAGTGACTTCTGACTAAGAGGTCATAGAATTTAAAGGAAAAAAAATGTTAAGTGGGAGAAAAAAGGGTCCTAAATCACTAAAATAATGTTATTGTGAAATGCTAATATTGGGTTGGTATGAAAGCATCAACTTACTTGTTTTTTTTTTTAAAAAGTCTTTTCAGTTAAAAAAGTTTCTAACAAATTTCTAAGGCCTATCTCTATCTCAGTATAATGCATATAGTAGGTATGGAAATGTATGTTGCATCCAGGTCTGAAAAATGACCCCCGATGTTTAAGTGATTAGGTGGTCTTCCTGTTCACACACACACACACACACACACATACACACACACACAGGGAGTGTGCATGTGCACACACACAGGAAGAAATAAAAGGCTTCTGAAACATGTAAAATGTGTATCTTTATCCCTTAGGATTTTCATTTCAAAAAGACAAAATTGCATATTGACAAGGATATTAAGAAACGGGAACCTCTGTGCACTGCTGGTGGGAACGTCGAATGGTATGCCACTGTGGAACCAGTATGGGGAGGCCTCAAAAAATCAGAGAACTACCGTATGGCCCAGCAATCCCAGCTCTGGGGTGACATTCACTGTGACTGAAGCAGAGCTGGGCACCCATGTTCCCTGCAGCACCGTCCATAAGGGCCAGAAGGTGGAAGCGACGTGTCCGTCAACAGATGATGGATAAACAAAATGTGGTCCGTGCGCACAATGGACTATTACTCAGCCTTAAAAAGGCAGGAAGTTCTGACATAGGCTACACGATGGATGAGCCTTGAAGACACCGGTGCTGAGTCAGAAATAAGCCTGTCACAAAGGACAAACACCGTGTGAGTCCCCTTAGGTGAGGTTCTTAGAGCCATCAGACTCACAGAGACAGAAAGTAGAACAGAGGCTACGGGGAGGGGCGACGAGGGGAGCGGGGAGTTTGTTTAGTGGGGACAGAGTTCCATTTGGGGAGGTGACAGAGACCTGGGGATGGCAGCGGTGATGGCCGCACAGAATGTGAATGTGCCCGATGCTGCTGAGCTGCCTAAAAATGGCGAAGATGTCAAATTTCATGTTATGTATGTTTTACCACAATACACATAAAAAGATTAAAAACGGGGCTCTATTTCTCCTATTATTGGAACTAATGCGTGTAGTGGCTATGTTTTAATGAATGTCCCAGGTAATCTCAACTTAAAAAAAGGAAAAGACGACTCTGTGTTTTGATTCCTGCTTCGATGAGAGTCGGCTGCTGCTTCATCCCGCAGAAACTGTCCCTGCCGAGCCCCGCCTGCTTCCCATTCCAGATTCTCTCTTGCCCTTAGATCGAGGCAGGACTGAGCCATTATTTCTAGCCTTCTTTCCAGTGCCTGTGAGTAACCTCTCCTACATAAACTGTGCAGCTTAGAAGTGTGTCTGCCTTTACAGGATGTTTATAATCTGTCCAACATTCCACACAATTGAGGGGAAATGAAGAATTTAAAAATGCAGCGATGGCACGGCATTAGCTGCCCAGGTGCCCTGCCACAGAGGGCATGTGGGTCCTTGTCCCTGGGTTTTATCATTCCTGAGCTGCCCACCTCTGCAGATGCAGGGCCCCAGGCATGGGGGAGCAGTAGGACATTTCTCTGGAGTGGAAGATAAGGACGGAGATTAAGATCACAGCTGCTGGATGGGACCTACCCCAGAGCGAAGGACCCCTGCCTCCTCTGACAAAGGGGGAGTTTGGGGAGCCCCCTCAGGGCTCCTCTGGGTGAGGTAAGAGTTTAGAGGTGGTGGGCTCCCCTGCTCTCCCCTCCATGTGTTCCAGTGAGTCCTGTCAAAGCAGAAATCAGCAAAAACTCAGGCTGATCGCAAGCACTGTACGTAGTGGCGAAGCCGATCTATTTCGGTCTCTTCAAAGAAGGTGATGAACGTGGGGCTGTTGCCACCTGTTTGTTTCTTGCTGTTGAAGAGAACCGTGGTCACAGATGGACAGCCCTGACCCTGGACACAGGATCCCCAGGCCCGCCTTACCCCAGCGCTCAGAGGTCTTAGTATGCCACATTTGGTGTAAGTTTGGAGACAAAACATGCTTCGGTTCTGCTTTTTATGGACCCTTCCCAGTTATTTTTGTCTTGTTTGCAGGTCTGTTAGAATATAGCCTCCTTGGGGTCGTACACCATGGCCCTAGGCCTGCAGATTCCCGACCAGGTGAGGCGTCTCAGTGGGCAGCCTCGGGGGCTGAAACGTCCGTCACTGGCACTGTGGTTCTTACCGACCGCACACATCTCTACCTGGGGGGACTAGGGTATGGAGCAGCAAGGAGGGAACACGCACTGTTCACCAGGCGGGATGTGAGCCTCGGCGATGAGACGCCAAGCTGCGGCCTGCCCTCCTCGGGCTCTCCCCGATTCCCCGTCCTGCGGAGACTGACCAAGCACATCGCCTACTCATTTTCCTTCTACTGTCAGTAACCGTTTTTCCCTAATAGGAAGTCTGTCTTTTGGAATAAAACTAGTCTTTCCTTTTCTGGAGCCTGCTGTCACATTTTTCTTTTTGAGATGAAATTCCCATAACACAGAACTAACCCTTTTAAAGCGTCTTTTAGTAGGTTCCCAATGACTTCCAACCACCGTCTCTATTGAGTCTGAAAACATCTTCTTCACCCCCTTACGCGCTGAGTGGTCCCTCCCCAAGGCTCCTACCCCCATCCTCTGGTAGCAACCTCATGGAAATGGAATCACATGTGCGATATGTGACCTTTTGTGTCTGGCTCCTTTCACTTAACATAATGTTTCTGAGGTTCATCCATGTTGTAGGATTTATCAGTACTTCAGTCACTTTTGTGGTTGAATAGTATCCCTTGCATAGGGATAGACCACAATTTGCCCATTCATCCACTAATGGACATCTGGGCATTGTGAGTAATGCTACTATGAACACACGTACAAGTATCTGAGCACCTGTCTTCGATTCTTTGGGTATGCACTCAGGAGTGGAACTGATGGACCGCGTGGTAATTCCATGTTCAACTTTTTGAGGAATTGCCGTTCTGTTTTCCACCATTTTACATTCCTACCAGCAATGTGTGAGGGTCCAAATTTCTCTACATCCTTGCCAATACTTGTTATATTCTTTTTTAAAAAAATGATTGCCATCTGACTGGGTATGAAGATGATGTCATTCTGAAGAGCTCATCTTGAGCTTCTGACAGATGGGACATTTCCTAAGATTCCTCTGGCTCCCACCCTGGAGAAGGTCCCTGAGGTCTCTGGAGAGAATCTGAACTAGACCCTCACCCCCTGGGACTGGCCCTCCCTCCTGCCCACAGGAGCCCTGCGTTGCTGGGATGGAGTGGACACTTACGTCAAGGTCTGAGGACCTTAATCTACATGTTTCAGTCATCAGGGACTGAGATTTTCCTTAGGATATCCTGCTCACCAGGGCATCTGGTGTCTTTGTAAAGAGCAGCTGGAATAATCAGGCAATAAAAGGATTTTTCTCTGTGCTAATCATCATTATTACCAACTTCCATCCTCTCTGTCCAAAGCCCTGACTAAAAAAGTTATTTCCGCCTCTTCCTTGCCTTTTGTAGTAAATGATGTTAAAAATTACCCTAGGAAGAGTAGGGCTGTAGTTGAAATGTCTGCATAAATTTCAAAAGCTCCTAAGTTTCCTGCAATATCCTTGATGAAAGCATTCCTACAAATACTTCTTAAGAGACAGCAGACTCTCTGGGAGGGAGCTATCAGACTGCATACCATGCCCCCTGCCCACTGGAGGGTGACTCGTATCATGCCAGTGCCCTGCTTCCTAGTACGAGGACAACGAAGACCTTCATGGAGTTTCGTACCTTCTGATGAAGCACTGTTACAGGTCTCAAAAAATGGTTTATCTCACTTTATGCCCAAGACAAATGCACGGAGTAGGCTTCTTCCCCCACAGGAGGAGACAGTGGGGGCTTGGGAAGGTTTGGAATGAAGAGCGGACTGCTGTGCAGTTGGGTTGGGGGTGGGGCTGATCATTCCAGAGTCTTCCATCTCCCATCACACCCTCGCTGCTCTAAGGAAGGTCCGTGAGCTGAACCAGCAACCCTGGCAGCTCGTGGGAAATGCAGTCTCAGGGTGGCCCAGACCTGGAGCTGCTCTGGACGTGGTCCTGGGAGGTTTCCTGGTAAAGTCTGGGGTCACTGCCCCGTACCAGCCCCCGGCCCGGCCCGGCGTTCTGGTGGGGGCACAGGCCCCTTCTAGCAAGGAGACTCTCTGCATGAAGGTGGGTCTCAGAAGGAAGGCTGGGTTTACTGAGTCGGAGGAAAATCTGGTAATTGCGTCTGTTAAATACCATTTTGACTGACATTTTCTTGGTCTCATGCCTCAATGACACCTGCAGTAATGGGTGACCGTGGGGACAGAGTGCGCCCGGCCTCTCCCTTTCTGAAGGCGCCGTGGAATAGTGTGTGGGACATCAGGCCAGTTTTGGAAGCCGAAGTCCTGAAAGGCGGTAGAGTGGGTCCGGATGGGATCCACATTCCTTAACCACCACGCCGTGGAGAGGTGGTGACTAAGGTCCTGAGATACTCACTGAGCTTTCATGAATTTGGAATCTTACTTCTGAGAAAAGGGGCAAAATATGGTCAGAACTGTGCACATGTGGGTTACTTCAACTCCAGCCCCAGACATGCAGGGGGGGAAGGATGACTCCTCAGGGCCCCCAGAGAAGCCGCCTCACGTTCATGCCACCCCAAGGGGCCTGTTGCCAGTCACAGTTTATTAGCCTTAAATTTCACCTTGGGGGAGGGGGTAAAAAGAGCTGCATTTATCAGGAAGGGGGAAGACCAGTGTTTCCAAGGATGAAACCCGCTTCTCAGCAGGACTTTTC